AATAGAGTTTTCTGAGTGATGAATTTCATCATGTCGACATAAAAAGTATTCAAGATTTCTCTGAATTGCAGATTTTTCCTGGATGGAGATTCCTGCTTCGCATCGCATTTCGTATTCGAGTAAAACTTGAATACCATCTAGTTTCTAACGCGTTCAGTAAAACATCTATGCAGTAGGATGCATGAAAATAAAATAATATTGCGTAATTAAGAACAACTGTATAATGAACCGAAATTTTGGAAAAACTCTTTAAACAAATTATCGATTTCATCCTCCATATTTTGTGATGAGTCATTCATGTGCCATAGTCAATTGGCTATTTAGAGAATAGAAAAACAAATCCATTTCGTTTCAGCTATTCACCTCTCGAGTAAGACCAAATATTTATTTGAAATTACAAAGTTATTTGTTAAATTTTAAAGCTTAAATCAAAGATAAAATGTCGTTTTTAGATAAAATTAAATTTTTTTAGAACAATTAATGAAACAAGGCGTATGAAAACACTTTTCACAAAATTATAAAATTCAATATTCTGAAGATACATCTATCATACAGAAGACAGTTTATCGACTTTTTATTTGTTATTTAACGATAATAGCTTTCGATTTAAAATGTTCGTGTTTTTTGTAACGATATAAAGTGAATGTGTATTATTATCGCGTATCTTAATTCGATCCATAATTTATTTCTCATTTGTGCTAATGTTTGTGTTTACATATGTTGTAATGTTTTCAATAGAGATTTTTATTTAGTTTTTCTTGCATTCTGTTGATAAATGTTTCATCTCTATGTCCAAATTGAAAAGCATTTTAAGATAATAAAACAATTCGTTTCCGAAATTCTTATCATGCACGTCACTGTTCTATCATCAGTTTTTAAATAAAATAAATTAGACGCATTAGAAAGATGCAGAACAAAATATAGATGTCTGAGTATTTTACAGAAACCCACAAGAGTACTCAGGAAATGTATGATGAGTACTCGCAAAACACACGAGTTTACAGAGCGAGTACTCGATAGTAGTACTCAGATCTTAGCACGAGTACTATTGATGAGTACTCAAACCCACGAGTACCCATGAGTTCTCGCGACATTTTGTAGCGTGAGTACTTTTTGAGTACTAGCTGGATGAGAACTTTCACTAGGGCCTCGCATATTCATATAGAGAACAAACATATCAATGGCTGAGAAACAGGTAGCTAATGAATAAACTTTTACAGTGAATTATCATCTTATTCACTAATTATGTTTTTTCTTTATTTTTATAGATGGATGAAGACATTGTTTTTGCTGAAATGAGTAATTTGATGGAACAATGGAAGCAAAAGCAGATAACATGTGAAGAGTTTGTTGCTGCAAACCAAGCTCTTATTCATAAAAAATATAATGTAACTATTGTATTTCTCTTTTTTTATAAGAAATAAGACAAGAACTTTTACTACAGATTTTACTTATCTTATATGTATAATTCGTGTCAACTTGCAGTTTAAGTCTTGATTGTTTTCGAAGTACGATAAATTACATCACTATCCGAGTGTAAAATCTAATTTATAATCTTCCAACAAGATCTATCCCATAATGTAATTAAGTAGATAAAGCTATTGTTACTATTGATTTCTTATGATGTTTAGAGAAGAATGATTTAGAAAACTCGTCTAGAGTATTATGTGTAGAAAGTGCTATTTATAATTTAAGATATAGAAGAGAGCGTGTTAATCTGCTTGTTATCCTAATTTGAAAAGAATCCTACTGAAGATGATATTTCATCACTTCAAAGTACTAATCCAAAATATGTTCCATCAAGTTCATATACTACTGGTTTTTGTTGTCGTGTTGAAAAACAAAATGAATAAATCTTCAAAGAGAATATATTACTCAAATAAAATCACTATTACATCCAATTCAAATTGCGTTGTTCAACAAAACCCTTGTATAGTAACACTTGCTCAATAGAATACTCATTTAGATCAAGATATTCTGGTTAACTTTGAATTATCTGATGAGCGAATGTATACAATAGTAGCTAATGAATCAATTGTTGTTATGACTGAATAAAAGAAGTTTATCAGCAAGGATGAAATCATGATTAAATAAATAAATGAATTTATTTTAGCTGTCGATTGTAGTGGATCAATATGAGATGAAAATAAGATCTAAAGAGATGATAGCATCAAATGAAGAAATCAATGAAACCGTTCCAGATGAAAAATCTAGCAAGCAACGTATCATCGATTTATCATTGAAATATAATATATTTAGTCGACACACGATATTTATTGCTATTGAGAAAACGAATCAATGCTCGTAATGCTGAAATGGTTTTACGAGACGTATCAATTCAAATTTATACTGATGATCAACATTTACAAATATGTGTTCGAACATTGCACGACATACAAAGAAAGATACATGTATGTATCATGATGCTATTGATGGGGATGTACTATGACCTCAATTTAGTCATCGACCTTTTATGTGGAACTTGATGGCAACTTGAAGAACTTAGATGAATTACCAAGTGCAATGAAAAATGAGAGCTTGCCTGTATCAAGCCATCTCCCAAATGTTTGTGTAAAGAACAAAAAATGCTAATATATGTATATATATATATATACCTTGAAGAGTTGATATATTGCCTTCGAATGATCAAGGCACTAGATTTTCTGAATAAGAAACAAAAGTTTGATGGCCTTTATGATTCAAATGATGAGATCATCGGAAAATTAACTAGAAAGTCTTTTCTTGTATTTCAATTAACAAATATTCAAATTAATGTTCATATATTACATTCAGTAATTGTTATTCTTTTGTGTGAAACATGTTTTTCTTGAAGGTGTGAGTGTGGATAAACAAAAGAAACTCATCGACACCGACATTAATACCAATATCGATAGCGTATTGGTATTGTTGCATCCCTAATTTACTTTTCCTTTCTGAAAAACAGAACATCTATTCTTATATTCGGTTGCGATGAATCATAGATGTAGTATGGAAAGAATGCATATATCAAATTGATGTTAGGTTTTTATGTTTCCATCAGGACGGCCATTAATGAGCTTGTTGAATATAATGTGCCTTTTCTTATTCAGACAACATTAAAACGCATCCTGTTGTCCTTTGCAACAGTAGGATACAATTGAAGTCTAGAACAATTCTAGCATTCAAGATTGACGATAGTCATCATTTATGTTGATTCACATAAATACATTCTCTTTTCAACGATTTTCTATTCTATGTCAAAATTTACTATCTTAACCGTTTTCAGATACTAGCTTACATTGTGAACAATAAAATTGGTATGCATCATATAGCTGTCATTTTCTATTGTGATGATCAATTTATTCAAGTGACTGCTTTCCTTGAGTACTTTTTAAAATTAGTTACTCTATGAGTAACGTCTGGGTTATTCTATAAATTTCATGTCTAAATTCAACTGCGTGGGTTGAAGTTGACAGCATGCAAATACACATTTTCATATATCTTGAATTAGGACTAAGCTTAAAAACCCAAGGTTAACTTTAATAGAAGTGTTCGAACGAACATTTATTATTTAGCTACTAGTTTTTGAATAAGTTTTTTTCTTTAAATTTCTTAGTTTTTTTTTCTTCAATCCATTAAAAATCAATATTATGCAGAAAGTAAGTTAGTTAGTTTTTCAAGATTTATTTGGTGGTTCATCGACGATATTAAATTGAACGGCCAAGTCGTGGCGCTGCTCGTTTCCCATCTATAGAAGAATCGAATTCAAGAGGACTATCATACATTGCATCATCGTCACCAATGTAGTATCGGCCAGCATGATTTAAACGTGAAACTGATGCATGTCGTCCCAGACGTGGTGATGCACGACCAAGACGAGGTGAAGCACGACCAAGACGTGGTGCTGCTCGTTCAACAATATCATCAGTAATTAGGATTGCTGGATAGATGTTATCGATCACTTGATGTTCAGTTAATTGTTCAAAATCAGTTGGTTTTGAATGAATACAAGAACAACAAACTAATATCAATATGACAAAACAACACGATATGAATTTGAATATCAATCTTTCTCATACGTACCAAAGAAAATAGTTGCAAGAACTAAAATCCAGTTTAATGTTACAAAATTTGAAGATATCTGTTGACTAATTCCTTTAAATAAAAATTATTTACTATTAAACAAGAGACAACAATATTATTTATACCTGTTGAAAATTTCATGGTGATCAATAGAAGGAAATATGACTGTCTTGAAGTTAGTAATGAAATACAAACAGTTTCTTTTCCCTTTCCGTCTTATATTTATGCTACGCTGGGCGTTCTCGATGGCGTAGGTGTAGATTTTCTTTGATATTTATTTCAATTGATGCTTGATTGCTTATTGATGTCGTCTATGATAGTTTCTTTTAGACAATATTTGTCAATGTATTTTCTATGCTGATTTAATTTCCTTGTAGTTTATTGTTGTATTTTTTGTCTTTTATTGTCTATAGTTATGTACAATGGGTTCATCAAATCAATATAGAGACAAGATATGTTATAAGTGTACTAGTTTATTCTTTTGTTTATTTTCATTAGTAGCGAACGTGTGATCCGCATATTGATTGCGATATCCGGTCGTCATTATGATCTTTTTGTTGATGATAGAGTAGGAAACAGAAAGAGATATATCTAATATTAGGCGAAAGAGAAGACTGAATACATGAACGAAGTTTTTATAGGAAAAGCAAATTGGTCAAATATTACATATGATCATTTCAATAGGAACTGTACAATAGCTATATAAATTCTATTGAATATAAACTTTTTGATTCTAGTTGGAAGAATGGCTTCAAGCAATTTTAACACTGACTTTGCAGAATAAGATTAATATAAATGACAAATATATTCGAAAATATTGTATTTATTATTTTTTACGGTATTGCTTCAAATGAAAGGAAAATGTTTCGAATAAATGATAAATGAATTTATCTGTATTTGTGAGTGTGAAAACTAGACAATTAACACTGATTTTTACAAATGCTTCATTTCACCAGTTCATTAATTATTTTGTATTGAAATTCTATAGAATAGTATGCGATTCATACTAAGAAGGAGATATTGCGTTCAATTTTTGCTTCCATTTGATTTCTTAGAATATTAGAAAAAGAATTACATGTAATCGACACATATGCATGTGCATACATATTATAATATCTCGTTCGAGGTCATGCAAAACGAATTATACTCGCATGCACACACACACACACACACCAAAAAACTCTAGAATCACCAAATAAAAGAAACATTTATAGCAACTATACGTGCCTACTATGATCAAAAGTAATAATACACCCAAAAAGCTCACTATTTCTTTATTCTATTCAAACTAATTAATGATAGTAGTGTTTAAATAATATTACGTTTGTGTTGATATGAAAATACAAATCTCTATAATGTCCTTCAACAATAATGAGAAAGCAAAAATTGTATATTTCTTTAAGAGTTATAAACAATATTCTTGGTTCAGTGTATAGAAATATGGCACTTAAAGTAATGCAATATGAGTTACTACTATTCCGTTTGATTATAAACGATAAACCACCCCGTAGTGTTTCGCTTGCCTAAATGGATCAAGACATAATGATCGGAAAAACCACAGTAGTCAGTAGAGGCTACAAGCATGTATTCGAAGTAAGAGAAAACAAAGTATACTACTAGGAACCACCATACAACTATTTTTTACTCTGTCACAAGCGAAAATCTACAAATTTTCAGTTGAGCTGGTTTACAATCTAAATTTGTTTTTGCTGTGCTGTAGATTCACTTTTCATCAAATTCTTAGAAAATGTACTATTGATAGATTTTTCATAGAAGAGTGTGTAGAAAATATTATGAAACTGAGATTTTCTTTGAAATGAAACATAAACAAAGCAATATTCCTGTATGAAATCTATGTTACTTTCTACGAATCTCAAACTAGTCGCTTGCTTTTGAATAAGAATAAAGATGTTGAAATCGAGTCTAGAAGTATCCTTTCAAATATTATTCTAATGAATTCGTTAAATTCAGTTCTTATTTTTATAGCCTACTTCAAGATCTAAAAAAACTAAATAAATCTTAGATAATTAAAAGATATTGTCTTGCGCCCTCTATCTTTTATGTATAATCAATGCATTGGATTGTATGTCATCTTACACGAATAATGTACATTTATTCAGTAAGACAAAGAGTAAATTTGTTCTTGATTATAATTTTAAGGAGTCTAAATTTATTTAATTCAATTAACGAAGCATAATACAAAAACAAAATTGTGTAAATAGTATTTCACATTTTAAAATAAACTTTTGGCGTTTCCAGATGTAATTTTTCTATGGGAAATACACACGGAAGTAAAATTCAACGAAAATTTACAATGGAATTTTTAAATAATGTACCGTTCAATATTCAAGTTCCATCCTCACTTCGAGATCCAAAAGATGTTACTTTTTCAATTGACCAACTTCAAAATTTACAAACAATCGACGATGCACGTAATATAGCTCCTTAATATTTGCATAGTTGTAGCAACTTTGCATCAGTCTGGAATTCAAATACAATTCATCCAGAGACACGACGTTTGATGCGAATGCTTATACAAATACAAACAATCAATGCTGTATGCAATGCGTACGAAATATATAATAATAATGATTCATATTGTTTCAATCTGATCTATATTGTCATTATTTAGTTTCTATCGACTACTTGATAATACTAGAATACAGTTACATGCTGATATGATGGCAAATGCTGCTCTAAATACGAAACAGTATAGTAATAATTATCAGTATGACACTAGTCGACAACAGCGTTCATATGATCAACGAACAAAAATTTTCGTTGTGAATGGAGATTGTCTTGATATTGTCAGTTGTTTCAGAGAAAAATATCAAAATTGTAGTCCTGTTGTACTTAATATGGCATCTGCTACTTGTCCTGGTGGTGGTTGGAGACATGGTATTGTTTGTTACATTTTCTTTCAAAATCGATTTTCTTTTATTCAAGGTTGTGGAGCTCAAGAAGAAAATCTTCATCGACGTACAAATCTCTTTCAATGTCTTGAAGATTCTTATCAGCAATTAGTCGGGAAACGAAATTGGAATTATCCTATACCTGAAGTAAGCCACAAGAGTTTAAATTTATTGTGATTTCAATAGTTTCTAGTTTGGTGGTATCTATTCTCCTAATGTGAGTGTTTTTCGTGGTTCGGAAGCTCGAGGTTATCCATTTTTTCCTAATGGCCCAGAATATATATCATTTATTGCTTGTGCTGCTTACGCTTATCCAAGTACGACAATAAATAAAGATGGAGAAATGGAACTCTATGGTTCAGATGTCATACATAATACTATGAAAAAAATGGAAACTATTTTAAAAATTGCTCTTGACAATGAACATGATACTGTTATTCTATCAGCATTCGGATGGTAAGACGACAATCAACTTTAGAAAAATAGTTACATGAGAAATTTATAATTACCCAAACCTTATGATTAAAGGGCTTGAATATTGTCTATTCGGTATCTGAATAATCAGATTTTTGAACTTTACCCATGAATATAATAAGCAATTTGATTTACGAATCTCTGTATAAGATTTTCCAAAAGCACAAAACAGTTAACAAGTGTCTCACAATTAAGGATTGTATTTTGCATTTTAATTATAAGTTTGTTTTTAAAATGAGAACCGTTCTATATGTGATTATGTTGTATTGAATTTAGGAATGACACAAGATCTTTTTTAATTGCATCTTAGCATATCATCATTGTTTTGGAAGATTCAGACTTTTGATTTCTATATATATATATCGTTTGATTGTTTTCTCATCTGTTTGTAACATAAGTCTGTGCTCATAAAAATTGCTGCCTATCAATGCGATTAAGAAAATAAGTACTTTTTCGTATTGTATCTATTATTAGCATAATATCTTCCAGATCGAAATCGAAGACACGGCGCAGTTGCTATTGTCAGAAAGATTGTTTTATTTTATCCATTTTTGAATGTTTTTATTCATCATCTTTTTCCTACTCGCAATATTTAACAAATAGAAAAAGGCGTTCATATATTGTAACAAGACATTATTGGTAAACGATCTATAACTATTTTTATGAATTTGAATTCTGTTTTTTTTTCTCCGTAAACGTCAAGGTTTCTTTCCGATTGTATTTTATATAGCTTGTGCATTGAATTACTTAAAGAAATTTCATACTAAAATGTTTTTCTTTTCAATCTATTTAGTGGCGCATTTAGAAATCCTCCACGACACATTGGTAAGATTTAAATTAATTAATCTTCATGTTTTGTCTTTGTTTTCTATAATAGCGAAATTATTTCACAAGTTGATTTCCGAGAAATACTCTCAATCGTTTAAATATCTAATTTTTGCTATTATTGATGATCATAATTCTATGAAAAGTCATAATCAAGATGGTAATATTAAGCCATTTGCTGATATTTTTAACGAACCAATTTTATCATTGGATGAATTTTAAAATGACTATATTCAATTTCTTTTTCGTTTACTTTTACTTTATATTTATTTCTAGATAAGTATCGCAATAATGTCAGCATTTCTTGAATTACTCCGTAAATCAAATCTCGATTATGTTATTGCACGAAAACCATTTAAAATTGGTTCACGTAGTGATGATGTCATATTTGCTTCATTTATTGATTTGAAGATAAAAAGATTACAAGTAAAAATAGAGAAGAGAAAAAAACTAAGAAAATTCTATTCCAATTTACTTTTAGTTAATCGCATGTTTAGATAAGCCAGAATCGGTAACAATATGGTCAACATCTTTAGATGAACGTTCATTTCAACTGAATGCTCGTCTATTAGATATATCAGAACTTGGTGAAACAATGAATTTTCTTCGTGAACGTATAAATGAATCGGATTTTACACTTTCGAAAGCTGCATCAACAAATAGTGATGGTCAATATGAAGTTTCACAAGTTAATGTTACATTTACGCATCCGAAAAATAAACAATCAATAACACTTCAACTTTACGAACATATTGATGAAGCCGAAAAATCATCATTTTTAAGTAAAATTCTCCTACATGTATTTAAACGCAATGAACAATTAACATCTGAAGTTAAAATACAAACATCACGTATTAAAGAATTATCATCTAAAACGCAACGTACACAATCAAGATCAACTGGTGGTAATCGAAGTTTTGATGGAAATAAATCATTTGACTCAAACACTCAAAAAGGAAATATGAATAAAGCACCAGAGAGTAAACAAATGAGTTTAATTAATCCAACTATTAAACGACGCAAAGCGGCAACCGGTGTTAATTATGATGATGAAGAAAGTGATTGAAATTTTGCCCAAAAAAAAAGAAGATTTTCATCTGTTCTATCCATGTAGAGAAATCTAAATATTCTTGTACATAGTATTGTTATATATCACTGTTTATAACGTGACGTACTTGTTTTTCATTAGAAGTTTAAAAAATGATAATAATAAAATGGTAGATATAGAAAAAACAGAATAATTAAAACAAACAACCGTAGTTCATATAATAGAATTCAAATACTGCTCACAAACGAAAAACTTGTAGAAGTAAAATTAGCCTCAGATGATTTGAGTACAACTTGTAATTCACCTGAGAGCAGCAAGGCACTGATTAGAATAGTTTGTGTATAAAATTTTTCTAGAGATATTTCGTTATGTAGTGAAAATTCATATCTCAGAGACAATTAATAAGAACCTACTATTGGTAAACTGATCCGATTAAAACCTTGATACAAAAACACAATTGCATGAGATTTTGATTTTACTAACAACATAGATTATTGCAAGAAAATAATGGCAAAAAAGTTGTTTATTTTAGTTGTATTGTAATTTATGATTAAGATATATTTACTCGTACGAGTTTATACATTCGATGGGTAATTCCTAGAAGATTTTTAGTATCAATATAACTAAATATTATATCTAATCATTCAAAGATTGACTCACAATGATCATTCATAAAGAAACAATCTCACTAGTTTTAGATTATAATGAGTAAGTCATCTATACCAGGCACAAAACAAATTCAATATGATCGTCAACTTCGTCTATGGGGTGATCATGGTCAAAAAGCATTAGAATCTGGTCGTGTCTGTTTAATCGGTGCTAATGCATTGGGTACAGAAATTCTTAAATCTCTTGTTTTACCCGGTCTTGGTTCATTTACCATTATCGATCATCAACTAGTCACAATAGATGATTGTGGTTCGAATTTTTTTGTGCATCCATCAATGATTGATCAATCACGTGCTCGTGTTACTTGCGAATTGTTAACACAATTAAATCCTGATGTACATGGCATTTATATCGATAAACCATCTATTGATGATTTACTTCAACAAAATACATTTGATTTTAGTCAATTTAATGTTGTTATTACAGCTAATCTCTCAATAAATACATTAAATATTCTTGCTCATCATTTATGGATACTAAAAATCCCCTTACTTGTTGCTCGTACTTATGGGTAAGATCGAATGAGAAGAAACTTGATTTGTACGATTTTATCTTGTTTTTTCCTTCTTCAAATATGTAGTTTTATCGGTACTATTCGTCTTCAAGTATTTGAACATTATGTTATTGAAGTACATCCTGATGATACAATACCGGATCTTCGTCTTGATCGACCATTAATCACATTTGCTAATTATTGCAATTCAATCGATTTTAAATCTTTAACACGCGAAGAACATTTACACTTACCATCAATTATTATACTATTCAAAACATTACAACTGTGGCAAGAACAATATAATAGTAAGAGCTTACCCCAAACACGTTCAGAAAAAGATGAATTTAGAAAAATTCTCGATCAACTATTGCATCATTCAGCATACGATATTCATGATAAAGAAAAATTACTTGAAAATTTTGAAGAAGCTAAACGAACAATACCATCACGTCTTGTTAAAACAAATCTTCCGTCGACAATAAAAGATTTATTTCATGATCGATCCTGTTTTGAATTATCAGATCAAACAAACATATTTTGGTTTGTCATTCATGCAATTAAATTATTTACTGAAAACGAAGGACAAGGCTTATTACCTGTTCGCGGTGAAGTACCAGATATGATTACAAACACAAATTCATATATTAAAATTCTTAAGATTTATCAAGAACAAGCAACGAAAGATTGTGAAATTGTCAATAAATATTTTTTTGATTTATTACAAAAGTATAATCGTTTGCCGGATGAATGTATTATTGCATGTGATCTTGTTGAAACCTACTGTAAGAATGCAGCATTTCTAAGAGTACTACGAACAACAGCAATAAACAGTGAAAATTATTTAATCGATGAAACTGAATCAAATCTTTCTTGGTAACTGTTTTCGTTGTTGTATTTTTTTTATCTTATTTCATTTTTCTTAAGGTATACATGCTTACATCTATGTGATTTATTTTATGAAAAATTTCGTCGTTATCCTGGTGAATTTCTTTCTGATGAAACACAATTCGAAACAGATCTAATTGATTTACAACAAATCAATAGAAAATCAGTCTCTGGTAAAGATTTAGCGAGTGATAATAAGCAACAAATTTTAGAAGAATTGTGTCGATACGGAGCATCAGAACTCCATTCAATTGCTGCCTTTATTGGTGGATGTTGTGCACAAGAAGCAATTAAATTAATCACACATCAATATGTTCCTATCGACAATACGCTTATTTATAATGGTATTGAACAATCAATAAATGTATTCAAGCTTTAAATATTACAATACAAAGATAAATAGATCGAAGATTATTTGAAAGTATTTGATTGTGTAACTATTCTTTCAATTAAAATGGAACCCAGTCTTTCTTTTTTATAATAAATAAAGTCTTCTCTATTTCAATGATCAATACGAAAACGAAAGTATGATATCAAATAAAAAATTTCTATACTTTCCACGCGTCATTTAAGCAAGCAACTAAACAAAAGACTATATTGAACATTGCTACATTAAATTATCTGTTTGATAAGGTAAGTGTCTAAACAATATTCAAATTATTTAATCTAACAAATTTGATTTCTTCTTTCGAACAGTAATAACGACGTACGTAGGATTTGCATTATATTTTGCACACTCAAGCTGAATTTTTTTTAACAAAGATACATCATAGATTTTGTAGATAAATGACAGAGTCTTCGATTCAAAATGTGCTAGTATGAGAAAGTTTACATGTATCACCATTCTATTGATCAATCGTTATCATTTATGGACGTAAAATAACTCTATTCTCTATGGCAAAACTCAACTTGACACCAGCGATAAATAAAGAGAAACACATGATGATTCAAAAATAGCTCTAATATATTTCTGTCATTTATAAGGCTTTGCTTTTTTTCGACCACAGAAAGATAACAAACAAAAAAAAATGACGAGTGGTAGATATCTTTTATTGACATTAGATTCTTGATGATAAAAAAAGAATCGAAAAATGTTGCTGTGTATCATTTGTAATGATGAATAGCAAGGAATGCTTGCTGATATTTTTCTTATGCTGTGTCACATTCGAATTTGTTCATGTACGGTCAGTATCTGAAACCGAGAAAGAAGAGCAACGTCATCAAATCAATGCTGATCCAATTCTGATTGAAGTTAATTGGGCAGCTCATGATTATGACCTTCATACAATTCCTTCTTTACAAATTGTTACAAATCCTCTTGTATCGCGTCAATTTTCACCTGTTAGCAATGAAATATTTGCAAATTTAAAACAACTGAATGCTGAATATGCACGATATGCCGTTTGGTTTCCTTATCCAAAATTAGCAGTCGCTGAACTTGATCCTCCATCGGGTTTTCATCAATGTAATAATGTTGGTGAAAATTATTCGATACATTTATCCTGTGAACAAGGTGGCGGTGTAATAAGTCAAATTGATTTTGCTTCATTTGGAACTGCTGTTGGTGGTTGTGGTGCAATGAAACAAGGCACATGTCATGCAGCAAATAGTTCCGATATTATTCAACGAGCATGTGTTGGACAACAAAAATGTAGCGTTACAGCAAGTGCTGATCTTTTTGGTGACCCGTGTAAGTATTAGTCACGAACGAGAAAAATTATTTTTCATTTAGAAAAAAAATCAAATTAATATTTTCTATAACTTTTTCATCCTAGGTATAAATGTACCCAAACGATTATTAGTTCAAATCCAATGTAATCCACCACAAAACAATACCTATTGGAATTTTACCTATATGGATCCTATGCTAGAAGATTTTCTTCAAGCAACTGATGGTCATTCACGTATTGTTTCATTTTCTACTCAACCTACTTGGCTCTTTGAACAAGATACACCACATATCTATCCAGATAATGCAACGTATGTTGATTGGGGATATCCAGTTGGAACAAAATTTGTTGACGATACAATGCAAGCATTGGGTGATTATTATGGACGTCTTTTTGCTTGGTATACACGTGCCGGCTTTATAGATGAATATGGTTTAAAACATAATTCTGGATATGAATATAATTGGGATTATACAGAAATATTCAATGAAGTTGAAGGAGAACATCAAATGACTGTGGAATATTATACTCGAGCATATGATGCAGTTATTCAAGGTATTCGACGACATACAAATAATTATGATATGAAATATGTAGGAATGGCATTAGAAAGTAAGTCATTAGAAAAGATAAGTATCTGATAATATATTTATATGTGGACTTCTGTTTAGATCATAATGAATTTAATTGGTATCGATACTTTTTGAATCATTCTAATCATGCATCCGATATTCCGCTTGACATGATATCGTATCATTTTTATGCAATAGGAAGTTCACGTATTGATCCTCCAAGTTGGGAATCATTTTTTACTCAACTTGATACATTTACATTTGAAGTTGAGCAAATTGAAGAAATTCGAAAAATTCTTTCACCAGAAACACGCACAACTATTGATGAATTAGGTGTTATTCTTCCTGATGATAATAACCCAAATGCACCATTATTTCCATTAGTTTATTGGAATGCAGCTGCTGCACTCTATGCTTATGCATGGGGGAAAATATCTCGACAGGGTATTAATGTAGTTGGACATAGTCAACTTGTTGGTCAGTATAAAAAATATTTATTAATTGAAATTCAGATCATATTTCCTTTGATTTTATGAATAGGCTATCCAAATTTACCTAATCTTCAACTTCAACCTCAATACCCAAGTGTTGCTTTGCTCAATTGGACAACAGGTGAAGGAACCGCAAAATATTGGACATCAAAATTACTAATTGATACAGTTGATATTGAGAATGATCAAGCTGTTGTAACTCAAACAACCGATATTGGCAATCAAAATATTTACAGTCAAGGCTTTGTTGGAAAAAATAATCGACGATGGATTTTAATTATCAATAAACGATATGCAAATGTAGATATATTTTTGCCTGGTTGTACTGGTGGTCGAATGCAGATTATTAATGAAGCATCGGGCTTTGGGCCAGCTACTGAGATTACATTAACATTGAGTCGAATAACATTAACTCCATTTGCTGTTGCTATCGTTCATATGCCTGCTACGGAGAATATATCTTAAACGACGACAATAATTACATCTACTATGGATTCATATTTATTATAGATAATATTCAACTTTTTAAATGTAATAAACAATATATCGATAAACTATAAATTTTTATTATGAAATATTTACGTGTTATATTTGATAATATCCTCGAGATGTATACATTTTTCTTCGATAGTGACGTAATTTCGTACAATAAAAATTCTTCTAAGTTTAGACTTGCAGATTGTTTTTAGCTAACTTTTTCTTTATAACAGTTGTAATTATGTTAAAGCGCTCTGGATACTCTGAGAAACTTAGTCGTATAGACCATGGTTTCCGCGTACTATTATTTAAAAAAATCTAGCGTTGGCAATGCGAAATTAAAAGGGGCAAACGCAATGAAGAAAAAATTCATTCGGATATTGTCTGGTATTCCTAACCATTCGAATGACTTGCAATGAGTTTTTTCACGTTGTGATCAATACATTGCTGATCTGCTACGAAGCAATATGGTGATTTGCATTTACTCATAATTTTAATTTTATTTAACTAGATCTACATGTAGAGACTGACCACAATACGTCTGAGACTGAATCTTGAGGGTGTGAGTATGGGTAAACATGTAGCAGCGTCAATCAGTGAAATCAATCTTAACGTGTTCCGTTGAGTTGAAGAAGAGTTATCACCCATGACAATATTTCTCATTGGAAGTTCTGTAACTCAACAAGCAAAGTGCTATCATTGTGTCTTTCTGGAATCTAACTACTCAAGTCACAAAAATATTATCGCAGCTTTCGATAGATAGTCTTGCATAAAGAAAAAACAATAGAGCTATACAACAAACGAACACGTTTTGATCGTCTAGTCTTTTTTATGAATCATCCGATGTTTTCATGGAAAAAAACCCTAATAACAAAAACACACGCCTTGAAAATCAAAAAGTATTGTAACATTAATCATCAACAAACTTTGCATTAATAGATAATTACTTCGTCTTAATCGAACAGCGAAAATGCGTTTTAGCTGGTGTCAATCAATAAAAATGAAGCAGAATCTTGCTAACACATCTTAGTTTTTTTGCATAGATGTGACGTAATAATAAGCTAAATTTTTCGATTTCAATCATTTGTTAACCAAGCTTACATTTTTTTAAATTCTAATTCTTTCAAATCACGCTCTAGGTAATTTAATGTATAACGATACACATTCCATTTGGTGATGATATTTTTTTCTTTATAAACACATTATTTCTATAACTATCTCTCAAAACCTTTTTTTATACGCTTGTACACATATCATCTAGCTTTGCGAGAGATAACTGAAGGATGAATCCGAAGCAATGACGTCATTACTTTATTCATGTTGATTTGAGAGAGATGAAGAAATCAAAATTGTCCATGAGAGTCATTCATATTATCATTGTTCTCATTTATTCTAATATTTCGATTCTTTTTCTTCTTTCTCCCTCTTGACCCTCTTCTCCGAAATTAATCGATTATTGAAGAAATAAACATTTTATCTGCCTATGAGAAGCAGACACCGATAACAAAAATAATATACAGGTAATTACCTACTTGATTCTTGCTTTTTGTTTGCAGCTGTACCCATAAATGCAATCACTCTATGTACCTAAGCTTGTAGTAGCAAAACTGATGAAGTTTGCCGGACATGTAATACAATTCTTCTCCATGCAAAAAAAGCTAATATTTTCTGCTCAAAATTGAGATTCTGCTTTGATATTTTGCCCATAAAACGTATTGTTCATAGTATATGTTGAGAGTTTCCTTTTCTCTTCTAGCTAAAACACGATTTTCTGTGACTAATCTAATGATCATAGGTAATTTCAAATTAAAACAAAATAAACATGATGTAAAACTTACGTCTAAAAATATATTGGTATCTACAGTATAGTGAATCTGAATTGTTTTTGTGTGTTAAACATTTATACAAGAGTTGTTTTTCTAGATAGTATGAAATAACTTTTGATCTCTCTCGTAGAGCAATTAGTCACGACTGATTGTTTTTTATTTTTGTGTTTTTCATACTAATAAGAGAATAATTTCATCGAATCTTATGCTACTTCACCTTTCTGACAAGATGACTAGTTTTTTGTTTTCATAATTTGTTTTTATCACATGTAACATAATAACTTGAGATAACTACAAAAGAAAATCATGCCTTAATTGTTTCATGTTGTTTTTGAATATTTTTCCTATTGATTAACGAGATATTTTCTCATTTTCTAAGAAGATTTCATGTCTCCATTTATATATAGAATGCCTTTAGCAGGTGAATTAGGTATTGATTCAAGTTTTGTATATAATTTTATTCTAGGCAATAGAAGTATGAATGAATTATGTAGAGTTTTTGTACACGAACGACCATTACCAGAAACTATTCGACTTCAAATTGTTAAACTGGCGGCACAAGGTGCAAAACAGAATGAAATTTCACGAAAACTCAAAGGTAAAAAGAATGAAAAATAATCATTCAAAAATAAAAATTCAATCGAATTTTTTTCATCATATAGTGCCCAATGTATATGTATCTAAAATCTTGAGTAAATTTCAACAGACTGGTTCAAAACACAGTGTAGCGACACCAGGTGAATACTCATCTTTGATTTTGAATAACATAATTGCTCTATATGAATGATTTTTATCAGATATTATTTCCAAAATTCAACAAATTAGAAGTGAAGATTCTTCAATACTTGCATGCGCGATTCGTGAACGCCTTCTTCACGAACCTTTTTCTACACATGATAATGTGCCAAGTGTAATTTTAGAAAGATCTTTTGAGTTTTGTTCTTATAAATTTTCATTATTATTGATTAGGTTTCTTCTATTAATCGAATACTACGCAAAGTATCGTCTGCATCATCAACACAATCTACCTCTAATTATCAATATGACACATTAACTAAGCCATCGATACCATCGCCTTCTCCAGCATCTGGTGAAACAGATGGTACAATAAATTCATCATCTACATGTAGCTATCAAACTTCAATAGATGATAAAAGTACAGAAATGAATTCATTCAGAGATGGTAAAAGTATATATATATATAATTTATTTTAATTCGTAGATGAGTCGAATTCTTCAATGGAAGAGGTTAAATATAAAATAATAAATGGAGATGATTATATGATCAATGATAATGAAAAAGTTATAAATCATAATCTAGATTCGAAGTTTTCATCAAAACAAAACGCATCACGATATCGAAGTTCTTTTACTGGCAAACAACTAGCAGAACTTGAAAAGGGTTTAATTTTATTATGATATTTCATTTCATCATAGAATCTACTATTGTTTTGTTATTGTGTCCAACTAGCATTTGAGAATTCACACTATCTTGATGTTGATGCACGTCAAAAGTTAGCAAAAATAACAAAACTAGAAGAAAATCGTGTACAAGTAATTTTAACTTGTCTATTTTACACTTTAATCGAAAAAATTCTTATTAATATCGATTAGATTTGGTTTGCTAATCGAAGATCGAAGTATCGTCGTGAAGAAAAACGATGTCATGAAAAATATGCACACATTCCTTGTGAATCCTCTAGAAATATTCAATCCGTAACTTCTCCAATAATACTATCGATATTGAATCCTGACGAATCATTAGGTTATTTAATTGAATCAAATGATCCACAAATTAATTTTCCAACTGGTCTTCAACAGAATTCATCTATACATTCTTTCAACTGTTCATGTAAATCGCTGAACCCAACATATTCATTATCAGCAAGTAATAAAATTGATTATTATGAGATCACCAATTGTAGACTGGCAGAGGCTTATTGAGAAAGATATTAAGAAAGATGTTTAATTTTCTCGGAGGGAATAGAAAATTTTTCATTACCATATTTGAAATAAATTTTTATTATGTAATTAATTAGGTAATTGCTACGAGGATCTCTCATCTATGCAAAAGTCATCATCTTATTATTATCATCCTTCGTATAATACTACATTTTCATCAAACATGATACATCCATCCTGTATGTTTTTCTAATTTTAATTAGAAATTTGTTATTACAACTATTTTTCTTTTATCTAGCGACTTCTCTTCAATCATCAATGCCATGATCCATAGTATACAATCGATTTAAATAAAAGATCTATTTTCTATCGTTTTATCTGACTTACAACTATGAGAAGAAACTTCTAATGATAAATATTTCATACAGAGTTACGAAAAAAAATCAGATTAGTAACGCTTGAATAAACTGATCATTCATTAATTCCGTGAAATGTAGATACGACTGAATAGCTAAGTAATAAAACGATAAATTGTGATCGACTAGAGCAAAGATTGAAAATTGGTTCATATTTAAAAGGAAGATTATTGTTAGTTTTGTGTTTCGATTTCTTAAACTGGCCATTTAGTCGATCATTGCAATTATGGTTGACCACAAAATATTATTGAAGCAATATAGATTAGGATGATATTCAATCAAATATAGCTGAATGCAAAGGGGAAAGTGCTGGCTCCAAGCACCAAATTTTACTATAAAGAGCCGAAGGTGCTGAACAGATGCTAGAGATGCTGAAACATGTCAAAGATGTTACTAGCTGTGGAAAAGAAACAATAAAATAAAGGAAAAGTATACAACAGGATGACATAATTCTCTGTTAAACTCATTGTTTTTCCTTGAAATTGGTGAATACACTAATTCTACAATAAAAACAGAGGTGTGCCAAATTAGGCACCTAACTTCACAGAAAATCTGCACCTAACTTTATTACCTTGAGAATCATCATTGAATTTGAATTATTTTCCACGAGTTTATTGTGTATTTTATGAAAACTCAATTTTTAACATCTGAGGCACCCCTCAAGGATCGAAAAAGCATTTGGTTCAGATTTTAGTATAAGTAGTTATATTTCGATAAAGTTAAGTTCTCTGATCACAAATACCATCTTAGATTTTAAAATTCATTGGATTCTAAGAAAGATCTGAAGCACTCTCGGAAAGACTTAAAAACTGCTATTGGTCCAAAGATCCATGAATATTCGATTTATTCTGTTTGAAAATGAGTCCGTTCAATACACAATGTGTTTTTCTATCAGAATATATAAGAACGACTTAGATATTCAATCTTTTTTCTCTCAATAAATTCTAAATACCGCCTAGATTGCGTCATGCTGTTAGAAATAATGCTATTCTCAATTTTATGAAGTGTGCATTTTGAGACGTTTTTCAGGCAATGTTTCGTTAAAAAACTACGATTTAGTTCAAAACTAATATCAGATTCGGAATCAGCGTTAAAAACTGAGTCGATTTATATATGTTGTGAATGATTCTGAGAAAATATTGTTTTTTGAAAAGAAATCCCTGTATCCCTTCCTCAGGGATAGTCTGGTCACAAATCACAATTTTTTCGATAACTCAACCATTTGTTGAGGGATTCTTTTCATCTTCGAACTCGACCGAGATATTCATGAGATTGAACGGTGTGGAAAATTTCATCACGATCTGACTCTCCTTTCGAAAATTATCGTGCCTCCGGACGGACGGGTACACTGACCGATTTTAGAGTGTACTCACTTTTTGAGTACACAAAAAGGTTTTTCGACCCTTGAGGGGGAATTAAGTTTCTATAAAAATACACAACAAAATTGTGGAAAATAATCCAAATTCAATGATGATTTTCAAGCTAATAAAATTATGTGCAGGTTTCTTTTTACCAAGGAGTATGGCATTTCGTACAATGTCTTTTTTTGATACCTGAGAGATAGCAGAAGCTGCACAAATGCAATGGTGATAAAATGAAAAATAAACTTCTGAAAAATAATCAAAGCTCAGTGTTAGTTCTCACACTAATAAAAGAAGGATCAAACTTTTTAGTATATCATCTTGCAATTTGATATACCGTTACTTTCGAACGATACTTCTCTTTTTCTGTTGACTTTTTTATTCTGAAATAATTCTCATTCAGATTCTGTGAATAATTCAAGAAAAAATTCACCTCTACTATTGAAAATGAAGGTAGTTTTCCCGATTCATTTCCATACGGTTGAAGTAAATCTCACTATAGAAAAGGTACTGAGGTGCTAGGGGTTTCAAAACTGCACTTTTCCCCTTGATCTATATAGTAATCTATCAGAAAAATGAAAACTACAATTATTTGCATTGAGAACGAATTTTTCATTCGACAGAATCCTGATGGAAAACATCATTTTCTTCAACCCTGTACTATTCATCGAGAATTTTTCTTTCATATTAGTGTTCAAAAGATTATTATGAAGAGACTAACTTCGTAAGTATTTTTCATCACCAAAGAGCACACTGGTGAATTGTTAATTAAACATTCTGCTATTTAAACGGATCTTCATAGCTATGTAAAGCTGCATAGCTACTTACAACGTGGCGCTTTTCTAACACCATTGCAGTTATTTGAAAGCTAGCACTATTTAAACAAACACACATGAATATTGAGTTATTCAGATATCTGATTCGTTTCTGCCAGAATTTCGGGTTTTATTGTCTTTGTTGTGCCACTGATTATCTACACTATATATTTCGTTTTACTGAACAGTTTCCAAACTTTTATCATAGTTTTTTAATCATGCACGCTATAGGAATACATCATCATATTATGATCATTAACAGACGAAGCTGTTTCTGCAAAGAAAATATAGCTATTTGATTAATAATATAATTATATAAATCTAATTATTCTTTTTCCATAGACTCCTACTCGAAAGCAATCGATACTTTAAGGTAGATGAGTAGTAATGAAGACACATGTTAACTATTAATAAATAGCTAAGAAGAGTTTAGATAACTATACATGTTCATAGAAGAACTTTGCGTTGAAAACTGTAGGTTTTGAGAATGAGCGGCGGATGAATACCATATAGTATTGAGCCACCAAGATATTCGACTGTAATACTTCTCTTTCTCACAGATTATGATTTGTCATCAATATATGAAGGTAAGACATTAAATTGTATCATCATATTTGATTTAGGTTTTAGTTTTTACATCCATGCTCAAATAGGATCAGTCAAATTAAATAAATCTGTCCATTTATTCTAATATCTATATATATTTCAAAAGAAACCGTACCCAATATAGCTTATATGTTTTTCAAAAGCTGTAGAAGTATTTAAATAGTTAAAGCGATGTTTCAAATAGCTGTAGAAATATTTAGATGGTGATAGGTATGTTCTAGAATAATGTTTCATTAAAAATTTTTTTTTTTGAAAATGAGCGGTCTAAGGTTAAAATTCAACCTATATAAAAAATATCATCATCAAAACTGAATTCGTCTACATATTGATTGATTTGTTCATGTTTTTTTTCTTTATCTGGCATTATTTTAATATCTTCATCAAGACGTATAAATAATTGAAAAAGAACTTTTTAGATTCTGCTTTAAAAAACTAATAACAAACTTTTAGCTTGAAATTTTATTGATGATTTAAGTGTATCATTATCTAGGAAAAACACAAATCAAAGTTTCAAACATCTTTTTGTTCAAATTATTTCTACCTTTATCTTTATTATTAATCCATTCTTCATCAATGAGTAATTTAAAATCACGTTTGTTTTTATTCGTTGACTTGTTTCCTTTTCTTTTTATCATTATTTTCAACATCATCTTTAGTGTATTTTTCTTTCATGATCTGGACATTTGAAAATGATTTACTTGTATTTCTATTCTGACCTTGGTTTTGTTCTGCAGCTTCATTAAAATCAAGTCTTTTATCAACATTTGCTGATGTAAATGTATACCGATCTTCAACAGGATATATTTCACTATAAATACAAATGGATAATATCGTGTGATCTTATTCAAGTTTTCTGTGAGAGCAACAATGTTTATCTTGTGCTTCCACATTCTACTACGTTGTACTGACTTGAATTCTGACTATAGTTGAAATAAATTTATCTATTGCTATGCCTTATCGAAGTTCCATATAAGTTTTCGAAAATTTAGTTTAGTCAAACTTGAATTAGGCAACCACTTACGCGGTGAATATAGGATTTGGTGGAATAAGTAATAATGCTTGTTCAGATACTAATTTTTCATCATGTTGACATTGATCTCTGAATTGTTGAATGGCTTTTGTTTGTAGTTGCCATGGAGATTTAATGTTTGCTAAACAATTGAGTTGTAAAATTGCAATATCAAATGTGCCAGAAGGAGAACGCCATTTAATACCTATAACAGTTCCAATATAACATTCACGCAATGAATGAGAAATATTTTGATTTTATTTTTCGATTCCTTTCGATTGTTCGATATTTCGACTAAACTTCTTTTTTACATAGCTTCTCACAAGAGATACTTTTTAGTTAAATTTTCTGCTATTTTAACGAACCTTCATAGCTACTTAAAGTTTCATAGCCATTTAAATCGTGGCGCGTTTATAACATTATAATATCCATGTAAAAGCTAACTCTATTTAAACAATCATATGGCTATCTAAACCATAACACAACTATTTAAATAAAGGTATATGAATCCTAAACTAATCAAATCTCTGATTCATTTCTACAAGAATTTTGGGTGCTGCTTTTTTCTGTTGTGTGACAGATTATCTAAAATCGCGATTTTACGATAATATAATAAATTGCATCATCAACAATATTTGATTTTGGTTTGGCTTCTTCACCCACACCCTGCTCGAACAGCATCAGCCAAATTTAATAAACCGATTCGATTTCTTTCAATATTCATAAATTTCAAGATAATTATCGCGCATAAAATACTTAAAATCTCTTTAAATAGCTATGTAGATGATTAAATAGATGAAGAGTTTGTTTATAGAACAGTGATTCATTAAAAAGTATCTCTTTTGAGAGTGATTTATATTAATATATTATGACATACAGGATAATCCAAAAAGAAACTTTCTCCTTTTTATAAAATTATTTCTGACACTTTAGAATTCAGCTTTGGTGTATTTTTGTTTTTGCAATGAATAGAGCGGAGGGAAGTCTACTGGATAGAGATGTTTTTATTTTGAAACTATCCCAACGTAGTTAGAGACAAATAATCAACTCATTAAATATGAAATCTATTCAGAAATGAAACCAATTTTTCCTATTCCTGATGTCTTCTAAAAATTGAGTAATTCAACAAAAAAAACTGTATTATGATCTCAAATTTTCAGGCTATATTTTTAGATCCTCTCACCTCAAGTATATATATAAATTGTTTGGAATTACTAAAAGTTTGCTACTGCTATTAGCATCGACGTACAATAGCAGAATTTTCATTTTAGCGTGAAGTGATGGATTTTACTAATTTGGCTCTTGCATCACTTGAGTTAGTGTTAATTGCGATCAATTTTACGCCATGGATAAACCATTGCTATTGATATAGGAGTATATAGAAATTATTGAAAATTTGTGACTCCATTATACGAAAAAAAAAACAATATAAGAGAAAACCAAAGAATAGCTTCTACTATTAAACATAAATAATTGTTTGAACATGAAAAAGATCTTTCAAAACCAATCGCTTTTAAATTGAAAGTTTTTTCGCAGCGACTATACTGCTAGTTCTATAGCTACATCATAGTCAAAGCCAACAGTAACTGTTATGGAGAGGTCCTTCATTTGCTCTTTTGTGATGGTATACCGTTTCAGTACGCATTTAATATTTGTTTTTGGTTATGTTGGAATATTATAAAAGTAAAAATACCTCAGTCGAGTAGGATTGCTTCAGCTCTGTCAGGTGCAAAATTACATCAAAAACTGAATTCTAGAATGGTAGAAATAATATTGCAAAAATGGGTAAATTTGCTTTGAAACACCCTGTATATTGCTTGTGCATGAATAAAATCATTACCTAATGTTGCATTTTTTGTGTTACAGCAATATTTTATCCATAGACTAGGAAAGTCAATTCCACGACCGGTTCTTCGTGCTGTAAAAGAAGCAAATATAAAATTTTGGTTTCTGAAATATGTTTTCAACTACAAGCAATTTACCCTGTGCTTCTTTTTTTATTAGACATTATTCTTGTGACTGGTTTTAATATAATGGTGTTTTTTATTAATTGTTTATAAAACGAAAGTACATGTTGATCGTTAAATAATCTACTGGCAATATTCATTTCATCGTTATTTAATAAACTAAATGCTTTGCGTAATAATTGTCCATCAGTTGTATCGCCCCCTCCTACGACTAGTTTGAAGTTTGATATTTTGGTTTTTTCTAAAACTTCAGATGAAACTATTTTACGTTCGATACTATATTTTAATGAATTCCAAATAATATCCAAATATTGTACGAGAACGTTTTCAACAGTTAATTCTGATTCATCAAATGGAAAATTGTAATGATACAGATAACAGCATTGTTCGTCATTTGTAAGGAAATCCAATAAGAAGAAAAAGCATGGGCCAGTAGAACGCGTGCCAATAGTTGTGTAACTAATATCATATTCATCCATTGAAACATAAACATCTACACTTGGAACCAAACTTTGAGAAATATTTTCATATACATTTGTAGAAGCCATTGTTTTAACTGTTTAATTTTAATTTATGATTGGCAAATAAATGCGATTGGTGATGAATAAAAATGTTTTGTAAAATAGTAACTATTTATATTCAATTGAGTTTTATTCGAAGATTCTAAACTAGTGCTTGTTGTTTTTATAGCGTTTGAAATACAAATGTATCATCATCAGTGTAAATTCTTAAATTACATTTTACGAACGTTCGGATGCTATCTTTAGAGTGACATTATATGAATTGATACAGGACAACCAACTTTTGGATCTATTAAAAAATATCTTTGTGCAAATAATGTTAAATATTCACAAGACTATTTATGAATTGATTGATTCTGCTTTCATGACTATCCTCAGTAATTGTATACATAGATTGCAGATCAATCGACTGATAAAGAATTTCTAGTGTACAGCGAAAATCAAGGGGGAAAAAGCGATTTATGAGTTTCATGATTTTTCTGAGTTTAGCTGATTTAAAATGAGTTTGAGAAAACGAAAAATTTACTAAACCAACTAAAAACTATTCCAAATCATAAATTATTACTGAAAATCATTCAAAGGCACCGAAACTCACGCAAACTCATTCCAATACAGTTAATTTATATTGATTGTAAGTTTAGTTTTACTGTGATTTAAATCAGCTTTTTCCCCCTTGGCAAAAAATCCCATAAAAATTAAAATGAAAGATTTTTTTCCTATCACAGTAACCGATTGAAAGTAAGTCAGACATTCATGTAGAGCTTCGCCATATTTGATGGAACAGTTAATTACGTTGTGTGCGATGCCAAGAAAATTTCTGATGTTTTTTTTTATCATGATGATATCAGACTTTTTCTGATTATGTATTTAATCAAAATTTGTTTGTAGGAATATTGCATGATTACATTTTGTATCATGGGTTATAAGATTGCTGCTTTTATCCATCTTGATTCTCATAATGGTTATTATTGAACAATTTTCACAGTGAATATAGTAGAATTTGTTCATGTCTGTTTTCTCTTTCCTTTACGAAAAAAATTAAAATATAACTATAATGCGTCCATATCCATACGGCAGCAAAGAATAATAACCTTTTCATCATATATTAGACAAACGCACGCTTAACATTTTGCTACATTGGCTGAATGTGAACGTTTGTTTTTTCTTAAATTTCTCTGGCTTGTTTGAGAAAGAAACGAAAATTACTCTTTTCTTCTCTCACATACATTGACGAACAAATACAACAGCACTCGAACATTCCATGATATAATGCACATTGACATAAATGCTTGGTAATAGTTTGTATATATTGTCTTCTATTTTCCAATGTAATATTTTGCTTGAAATATAAAAATGATGCAAGTAAGCAACAGTATATTACGTCGTTTCTCTATTTTGTTTTGATAGTTTTGGTATTTAAACTAGTAGCTTATCGGTTGTGCAATATTAATTGATAAATATTTCATCTTAATTGTAACCGAAATCGATAGAAATATGACTAAAAAAAATCAAAATTTGTTTTATTTTTATAGAAAAGAAGAAAAGCGTTTGTTCAAAATTTTCTTAACATAATTTAAATGTAGCTTCATCGCATTTCATTAATTTTGTTTAAAAAGAAATTCAATTGTAATTTGATAATGTTTGTATCTAGATATTTTTATCAATAACGAAATTGTTATTGGTTTGCATTTATTAGAAAAAAATCTTTAATTATAGAGTGATAAGTTTATTTTCTTATTCATAACTAAATGAAGAAAAATACATTTTTTGATAAATGTAGTATAGAAATTAATACAAAAATATCGAATTTTAAAGATGTGAAATTAATACTAAATGAATGAATTTTATGAATTTAGGTTGTCTTCTTGAAAAATAGAGAAAAGAAAGATAGAATTTATTTTTATAGATCTTGATTAATAATATATTCAGTCATTGTGAAGAATTCATATGTTTAGAATATAATTGGAAAAAGACTTGATTATATATATAGTATTACGTTGAAAACAGGAAATATTTCCATTCTTTATTAGCAAATTTTTTTTATGAATTGATTATTATTGACAGAATAAATGTGCCTAATCCAGAGGAAAAAATTAATAACTTATATTGTTTCACTTAAGAAGCTGTTATTTGATTCAAGATTTAATAAAAATTATCCTGCTAGAATGATATTGTTTGAAACATTTTGTTTCAAATATAGCAGAGTGAATTTAAGATATTCCTGCGCTTTTCTACATATTAGTCTTGACTACTGTGCGGCATGATCAAATCTTTTATTACGGTCACGTATTAATCGTTCTCTCTGGTTTATCTCAAGTCGAGATCTCTTTTCTTGAACGATGCTTGCTTTGACGAAAAGTTAGAGACAGCGCCAAAACAAATCAAAATGATGCGATTATTATTAAAGATAAAGAAAACTATGTTCTTAACCTCTTAGCTGTTAAATTTTTTAGAAATAAAATAGTGAACTTTTAGCAAAATTACTTTTGATACACAGGAACATAATTGATATGTAACATCAGAAGCAAGAGATACTTGCAATCAGTACTGTATGTTCGAGCCGATCCATAGCATGCAAAGGAAACAGAGCTAGGGAATTATAGTCTTAATATTTTCCATAAAGATTGCTCTAACGATCCGAGATGGAATCGGTACAGATTACCGACCGATCTAGTGGTAGCCCAACCTGTTTATCTTATGTACTTTTCGCTTTTATTATAGAAATTTGTTCGACTTCCACTAGGTCTTGATTGTATCTCATAGAGAATACATTAGGAAGTTTTCAATAGACTTTGTCTATATCAGATATCACAATTCCAAATGTATAACTGATACAGGTAAGAATCTTAGACTGATCGATCCGCTCCTGACGGCTATACTGGCCGATAGCAGCTAAGGAGTTAAGGAAACCTTTCTTCACAGGACTTTTGAAGGAATCCTCATTAGAAAATTTTGAAACTTTCATTGCAGATAGATATCGACAAGTAAAGCAAAAATTGTCACTCAAAATTTCCGAATAGTTCCCTGTAGGACAATGGTGTCGCAAGGATTTAAAACAAACCTTTTTCTAGCCATAATACATATAACAATTCTTTTACGGATATTTTATACTTCTCTGTTAATGCTTAAATTATGTTGAATAGACAGGATAGTTTAGAGTGTATATTGAACTGAGAAAAGTAAAGATGAAAATATTTTTTAATTTGGAATTAGATAAGAGTTCCGTGAATTAATTCTATTTGATTTAATCAAATAGAAAGATACGTGCCGAAGAAAGTAGAATTTAGGACAAATTAAAAGCGAAAAGAAGTTTCAGATGAAACTTTAATTTGTTCTAGAAATATTTATACTTCTTTTTTTTTAGTTGTATTTTCTCCTGTAAAACTTATGGGTAATTATTTTGGTTCAGAAAAATTCAATAAATTATCGCAATAAGTTAACAACATGACATTATTTATGTTATAACAAACTAATGCAGCTAAAATAGATAATGGAGATGTGGTTATTTTAGTACTTGCGACTGCCCATGACCAAATGTATTAAAGAAAAAAACAAGGCATTATTTTGATTACAACGTATTGTGCAAACAAACGGTAAGCCATACAACACGAATCTACAATATTTTATCTTTATTAGGAGCATTGACTCTTTCATATGTTTACACAACGAAGATTTATTTGTTTTCGCGTACAATAGTTAGACCAAAAGTTGAATCAGTAAATCTATAATATCGAAACTACTGATTTTATAAATTTGTACAATTCTGAAGGGCTAGCTTAGTATTAATGTTAAGAAAATGCTAACACTTTTCGTCCATGTCGAGAATTATAAACCGCTTCCTGTAGGAAAACATTGAAGAATGCTGGGAACTTGGGAACAGAAATCCACCGCATGGAGCCGGGGACCAGACCTCTTTGGTTTCGCCAAGAACCAAGAGCAACCAGCTAAATCCGGTAACAGGATACGACTAGCAGATTTCTGCGTTACTTATCCGGACTTTTCCAGCGGTTTTCGACCGGAAACGATGTCTTTCCTACCGGCTCTCGCTAGAAATTCATTGCACCAGCAGCTAGAATCGCCGTTTTGAATTGTCAAGATTAAAAAATTTAATATTTTTGCATTAGTACTAAGTTAGCATTAGTATGATAATAATGTCTATCAGAATTATGTAGGGTATTTTCTACATATATCCAGAGTCCACTTTAAGGATCATATATTAGGAGGGTGTAAGGCAGTATTTTCAGAAAAAGCTTGCAGAAAAATGATAAAATGTAGACAAAATCTGCCCTTGTGGCTGTAGAAAATTGAAAATTTTGGATTTTTGGGGAGTGTACAACCCCCTGCCCCCTCGCTCGTATGAGGCTGGGATATGTCAATTTAGTCCTAATATCAGATTTTGATTAGTCGAATTTTCTTTATTTCTTTCCATCGAGGATGGAACTGGCACCACTCTGAGTAGGTCAAGTCGGCCGATTCGCTATTTGATCAATAAAAGTCAGTGTGCTATCGATCACCGATCCACCAGCAGTTGAATGTTGTGTCGATAATATCAATCCATACTTAAACCGGAACATTGTTTTATTTTGACGGGTCCAAATTAACACTTTCATAAAATATAAATGACACCATACAATTTAAACCAATAAAAATGTTGGATAACTGTGTGTAATAGAAGAATAAAAGCAAATAATTTAGATCGATAAAAATCGTTCGACTTTAGATCGCCCAGTTTAGAACTCTTCTTAGCAAGTACATTCGCAATTTCACCTGAAGCAAAATGGCGGTAGCCTGATTTGTTGCCATTTCCCCTATGTAGTTAGCTAATATCCAAACTCATTTTGCATTCGTTCTGTCTTCCATATGTGCATTAGCTTTTTTCTAATATAAGTACGATAAAGAGAATGGAATTAAATAGAATTTGTTGTTAGGACTAAACTAATATAACTAGAAAAAGCTTGTTAGCGTAAATTCTTCGGGACTAAAATGTGTTACTCACGTTTGTTCTTCTTCCTTAGCAAACTAGTGTGAAATACGCTAAATTATTGTTTAAATTCTCTTTCCTTGGTCGCTAATGTCTGTAATCTGGGGTGTCTATAATGAAGCGGGTGAGTGGGGAGTTGGAAAACCTCGACTTAAAACGTACACTCACTATTTTCTTCGAAAATTTACGTGAGTTTCACAAAAAATACACATAATCATGATAAGCATTAGCATAATGCTAATTTAAAACTATTCAATTAATTTGTTTTTGAACTCTCATGAAAAGCATTAAAATTAGCATAAATTAATGCACTTCTGATGCTAAACCAGCATTTCTGATAGAATGTTTACATGAATAAAAATAATTATTTACTTATCTACCATAGGATCTTGTTTCAGTGAAGTCTCACGACTTGCGCGTTATTATTATTATTATTAAATCATTTTCTAATTTAAGTGCAAGCTATATGAACTTGGAAATATAGATCAAGTCTTAAAAAATGAATAGAACTTTATGTATGTGTTTTTTGTTTAGATCAAATGACTAGTCAAATAGAAAGTCTACCTAATGAAATTCTTCGTCATATCTTTTATCATTTATCATGGTCTGATATGTTAACATCGTTATGGTCATTAAATATTCGTTTTAATTCTCTTGTGTGCTCAATTCTTTCAAGAAGTGACCAAACATCGAATAGTGGCATTCTTATTACACGAGGTTTATCTTATAATAAATATTATTCAATATTATTTCCATTGATTATAAATTCATTATCACTTTCTTCTTCTATTCAACGAATTCATTTCGATGAAACAAATTCAATTTCTTGTGATCTTATTTATGAATGGTTGTTTAACGAGAAAAAAATCTTTCATTTTCCTAATCTTAAATCATTTATTCTTACTCAGTGTGGATCAATTGAACCAGCAGTTCTGTGTTTATCTTATCTTATTGAGCATCAATTAGATGAACTTACATTAACGTTTGACCAGGAAATGATCCTGCAGTTTTCTTATGAAAAACAATGTTCGCGAATGATTTCTGATACAGGTAATTTATCTCTTTTTTGATAGTTATTTTAAAACAAAAAGAGTTTCGTCTAGAGTGAACAAAATGATCATAGTTCCGGAACGAACCAATGTGAGCACGAATCAGCCTTAAGGTTGGGGAGTTACCAGAGATGTTCATCGCGGTTGAAAATCTGCCGCTGTTGCGTCGCGGACTCAGAAGAGAGGAAACTTCCTGCCCTAATCAATCTACGGTTTTCTTACCCAGTAGATTCTGTCCGATGAGATTACGTCTGAATTTATCTTAAATATGATTTGATCATTTATTCATTGAAATGTCAATCGATTGTTAGATATATGAATTGGCAGAATTAATCAAAAAAGAAAGAAAATGACACCTTGTAAATACGAGTTTCACAGTATTAAATATGAAGTTAAAGACAATTTTTTAGAGAAAACGGTATTAGTGCGTTGCCTGTGAGATTCATGTGAGAAAGAAGATGAACCTGCGTCTATTGTTAAATACAAAATTTTGCAATTTATATTTCGTATTGTTAGTCAGCGTCCGTAATGAAAGATTTTTATTCAAATATATTACAGTGGGTTCAAAAAAAAAGGATCCAGCACAGAAATCCTATATTCAATATTTTTTCATAATAGTAGTGTGGTAGAGTTTTGTTTCGTTCCTGTGTCTGTGTCGCAGTATATTGTGAAGTATTGCTTAAGTGTTTATAATGTTTCCATAGCAATATCTATTATCGTCGACACCTATATACTTGAATACTAATTTTAGATCGTATTTTTCATAAGATTTTCTTTATAATAATTGACAGTTTCTTTTTTCTCTTTGATAAGAAACAGAAAGACAAATAGCAATGATGGGGCAACTTCTTTGCAAAATATTCTCTGCTCAATGTCAATTAAAAACTCTTCGACTTGATATTAGTAATGTTTTCAAAAGTGGTCGTACTCACCAGTGCTTAGAATCAAAACCGTATCTCTCTTCGGATTCTACTCAACATGAACTTCAATCGTATTGTATGACTCTTCGTTATTTATATATTCGACTTAATCAAACATGTTTTCTTGAAAATCTTATTGAACATGCACCCAATCTCGAACAACTATCAGTTGAGTTTCATTATTTACTAAAATTCGGTTCATGTGAGACATCGAATGTTGAAATTTTGAAACAATCAAATGAAAATTGGTTTAATAAAGTGAGAAAATGAATTTTTCTTGTTTTATTTTTGTGCTTAATACAAAGAATATCGAGTTCTGTTTAGACACCAAAACTACGATATTTTAGTTTAAAAACGTTGATTTGCAATGATTTAGAATTTGTTTAATTGAAATGGCTTCTTAATAAATTTAATTATATTGAAAAATTTCAACTTCATCTTCGAAATAATCAACGAATCCAAAGAAAATGTCAAAATATATGGAAATCTGTTATTGATGCAAATTTTATTCGTCATTATTGTCTACCTGATAAAATAATTAATTTACTTTATTTTGATTTTTATATTTGTTCAGAATGTCAATTATCATTGAATGATATAGAAAAAATCATTGATTCATTTAAAATTCATTCGTTTTTTATTTCACATCAATGGACAAATGTTAAATGCTTATTTGATCCTATAATGTCATGTCAACATCTTTTCTCTTCTTTTTCTAATACACTAAAATTACCTAATAATCTTATGTAAGATATTTATTTTAATTAAAACTCTGACAACTTCTTAATTCAATTGTATTCTTTTCTTTTAGTAATCAGTCATATGTTTTTAATTGGCCAAATATCGACAAACTTTCGTTTCGGTTACATCCATCATTATATTTATTTCTCCAAGAATTCAATGACTTATCTCCTAATATTCGTTGTATCAAAGTATACAAAAGTAAATTTTGTTTTGTCATTTGAATGCTTTTTTAATGCTGGAAGCAATAGATAAGTGGTTAAGTTCATAATTTCATTGCATTTAATATCTAAGACAAAGAAAAACTATAGAGAAAAATAGACACTATTAAATTTCATTGAAACAATTAGATGAAAAAGAAGATGTCTCATGAACATCAATCTATCTTGTGTTCAACTAAACCCAGAAGAAAAATAGTAAAACAATATTTAAAGTAAAAAAAACTTGTTATTTTTATAGACCAAAGAAAGGATTTTGACGATTCTGATCTTCTGATGTCATTAAATAGCTTATCAGAAATGAAGCAATACAAAAAAGTTGATATGGCCTTTCGAAATGTTACGAAAATTCAATTTGGAACATGGTTTGATCGCCACAGTGGTTAGTAATCATTTTTTTTCAAAGATCTTAAACAAACGAACGGAACTCATTCTTCATTTATAGCTTAAATCAAATAGTTTCAATTCTTTGTAGGACTATTTTCTCCATCGTGCTTGTCATGAAATAAACTTTTATTCTTTGTATTATAGATCTGATAACTCGTAGTTATAAGCATGCTTTAAATGTAAATTTTGCAGTCGCTAACACAGATCAAAAGTTTTTCCGTCGTGAATAAAAAACCATTCATGGAAAAGGCAGTTGAGTGATATCGAATTCAGTTACCAATATTAAAGTTGAATATTCGAACTCTACTTCAGGGTGGGCATATGTAAACTATTTTGAAGAACAATAATATCTAGAGCTGTGCACTTTCACTGGATTGATCATCGACACCAACACTGACAACGTTTGAGGCATTGTCTACATCAACAATAACTGAATACTGATCGTACTGACTGGTTGACTGCATTAACAGCGACATGCACTTAAAGATTGACGTAGCCATATTGATTTTCATAGACTCTAATTTATATAGGGAATCGTATGACATTATCTGGACGTAATATATGGATGCACAGAAAATGTTTCATGGCATGAAAGTGTATCAACTTAATGCTTTCTACCGCTTTTTTTCTTCGGATCAATATAATCCATTCAACATTATATAGAATAAAATCCGTTTTATCATTTTGAGGAATGATAGTGAAAAAATAAGGGACCTTTTTCAAGAGACATCCCAAATACGACTGAATCACGAATTCAACCATCATTTTCTAGGAACATGACTCTTATTGTACGTCCAAATCTATATCTTCAATTCATGAGTCCTTTTTTATGTGACTTTCTATGAAATTGTTCATCCTTTTAAAAGAAAAGCAGTGAGCATAAAGTAAAGTGAAATCAAGGGTTCTCGACCTTTTTGAGTTTACTGATTGGAGTCAAAACTTAAAGGTCAACTATTGCTGCTTCCTTCCACTGTCACTACAAAGACAGGAGATATGTTCAGGTAAGAAGAGGAGATAAATACACTGTGTAGCATCTGATTGAGGGTAAAGACAAAACGAGATCTGGTAGGCATAGCACCTGAATGCAGGTGCGGGGTAAAGGAATATAGAAGGAGCAACATTTGACTGACGGCGAGGGTAAAAGATGGGGCTAAGTGTATCATGTGGGTTGGGACGTTGGCTCAATGGGAATGCGCATGGACCGGTTCTATTGGAAGAAGCACTGTGATGAGTGTAGAAATCATGATGACTGAAGTTTTGTCATTGGGCGTAGTTCTCTGCTATTCTATATAAAATAATCATTGCAAAAGAGACGAAACTTGTAGAAATAGACAGTGAAAAGCAAGTTTTCGCTGCAATTCTTGCAAAACTAAAATGTTAAACATCAAAGAGCTTTTATCACAATGTTGACAGTCCATATGAGAGATCTTGCCATCTAAATGACAGATCATTACGAGATCAAAAAGCGGCATGCCAAAAAACTTGCTAAGCTACTGAGGACATCAAAACCTCTGCCACTAGCTTAAAAGAGTAGTGGCATCTTTTCAGCGATACTCGAAGAAAATCGAGTACATGGAAGCAATTATCTCATCGTGTACTTCAACAGAGAAGGAACTAACTGAGTCTTGTGTGAACTTCCATGGAGATAAGCCTATCTATCGGGAGTATTTTCCTAAGGTGCTTTTTAGGGCTAATTTAAAGAGATGAAACTAGAGAAAGGTTAGAGAATTTTCTAGAAAAAATTTAAGAAAAGTTTTCTCACTAGTTTTATAGTCGGCAGCGTCTTCTACAAAATAATGTCTAAGCAAATTCGAGATTTTGTTTCCTCGAGACGTTAGAAGTTTTTTAAGAGAGCGACTGCACGCATGACATAGTTGCTTAGATATCATTTTGAAAAAGATGATTCGGACCATAAAAAAGCGTCAAAAGAGAACTTTCTAAATCTTTCACTCATTTTCCCCTAGAGGCGCAGAATCTACCCGCGTGCGCCTACAGTGTGTGGGGAAATTTTTCGGCTCCTAAGAGAATTTTCGTAAAATAGCTGGGGGAAGTACGGGGAATTTTGTAAAAATCACGGCAGATTCTGCACCCCTGTTTTCTCCTGATTTTACCATCTAAGTTTAGCTTGGAAGACTGCTTTTGAACAACACTTTCTATACATAGACTTGTGTTCAACCCTATCCTCTATTGATTTCTATGGTGAAAACCACAGGTCTCTGCGAATTTTCGTTCAAAAATTATGTTAGTTTCTTCAGAAAATGAACATCACAAATAATATCCTTGAGAAATGATAAGAGACACAACTTCTCTCATTAAACGTATGTCTTTATCTAATTGGTTCGCATCGCACACGTACCCTATATAGAATTGTGTATTGCCCATTAAAACTTTGCAAAATGACAACCTTGCCGTGAAAAAAAACTGACTTTTCTCGTTCATTTAGTAAATTCACGAGCTATCAATTAGAAAACCATCCATCTATTTATAGTTTACTTTAATATGCATTTATATGGATGAGTTAAAAGATAGATTTTAGAAAAATGAACTTCATTTTGAAAAATATCAACTCGAATAAATAAATTTTTTTGTTTCACAAATATTCTTATGGAAACGATGTAGAATCTAAAAATACTTTTTGTAGCTCGTGTCGATGAACCAATAGATCGAAATGAAGTACGTGAAAAAGTACTTGCTCATCTCATTTCAATGACTGTACAACTCAAATATCTTCTAGTTGAACAATTCGAATGGCTCTTACATGTTGTTCAATACGTAAGTTTTCGTTTATTTCTGATATTTTGATATAATTGATTTGAATATATTCAATTCAAACAAATTGACAGCTAAATCTTGTATCATTTGAAGGACACTGATATTTGTTAAAGTACCTCGTTTAATAATCTACAAGTTTTAGTTTAGACTAATTGCATAGTATATGAAAAAATTGTATGATATTCTGTTTTTTTTGTACAGTTGCACCGTTCAGTTATTTTGAAGTTTAGAATCTTTTTATTGAACTTTATCAAGTTTTTCCAAATCTAGAGATTTCATTTTTATTTCTTTTTGAAAAATATTTAAGAAAACTTTAACTTCGACTAATTCAAAATTAGTTTTGAGTCTAGAGGTTGACGTTACCGTTGTAATTCAAAGTCACAACTAACTATAATTTTAATGAAGAATTAAAGAATTATGAATTGATCTTTTTCTTTTATCTTTTACAAATATACAACTTTTTTTTTGAAGCTTTTATGTCAAATTATTAATAAATGAAAATTTAACAGAAGAGACATACATGTATTAACAGTTCTAAATCTCCATAAATGTCATAATCCCATTACACTGGGTATCCATAATTTTATGTCACCATATCCATACTCATGATTCATGGGTATTCGCCTTTCACAACTAATTCATAATTGGCGTATCACCTTTGGATAACGACTTTTGATATAACTATGTATTTTAAAGTTGTATTAATAAAGGTAATACCCCAAATTCCTCAACTTTAAAATACATACACTGTAAAAAAATAGGAACTTTACGGAACGTAGGAAAATACGAAACCTTTAGAGTTTCGTATTAAATATAATAGTTTCATTGCAGACCCAGTACGAAACTCTAAAGGTTTCGTATTTTCCTACAAAACGTTTTTTTTTTGGTCTACGGAACTTAAAAAGGTTCCGAAGAAAAAAGGATCTTCACTGGGGTACACGGTAAGATCCTTGAAAGGTTCTGTGTAAGCTTTTTGTCATCCACCGAACCTTTCTTTGAGGTTCCGTAAAGTTCCTACTTCTTTTTACAGTGTAGTTATATCAAAAGTCGTTACCCAAAAGATAATACGGAAAGTGAGCTGATTTTATATCTTTGAAAACGTTGTTACTGGAGAAGGTTGATTTGATTTTTGAAAAATCATTATCGGGTGTAACGGGATTATGACATCACTTTTATATCTAATTTTATCATCTTCCAGACACTTTAGATTTATAGAATTTCATTTCCTTGTTATCAACACACATATTTTTACATTAGAAGATTGGATCGGATATTTATTGAATCTGAATAAACAATGGATATTAATTTTCTATTGAGAGTAGAATTTTTATGACACGTTTCTCAAGTAGAGATGTCTTTTAGCTTTCAAATAATCTTTATTATTTGTTGAAAAAAGATATTATTTTATCAATTATATTCAATTAAGATTTAAAGAAAAAAGTCCAAGTGAAGTTTAGATTCAATCAAATATATTCACCATTATTTTTTGCATTCTTCATTTCTTGTTGTTAATACTTTTTGAATAAAGTGTATCATTTTAGAATTAAAAATTTTTTTCAATCAAACTCACATTAGTAGAATAATTTTATTCTTGTCATAAAATTATCAAATTCATCACACTAGTCCAACATCTTGTAAATAAGATCTTGATCGAGATATAAGATACAGAAATTCAATATTTTGAATTTTATATTTGATCTTTTGCTTCAAACAATTACATTTTTCATACTAATAATAAAAATCATAAGCCAAAATCCTGCAGTTAAGTTTATATTTAAAAGTGAAAAATATCTATGTGAACATTCAGCGCAAGTTAAGTTTCTTTTAAAAATATTACAAAAAGAAACAAGATGTATAGAAATGCAAGAAATGTTCTGATACATGAAAGTCACTTTTTAAAAGAGTTGAACAATATGCCTGTCGTTGCAAATGTTCTATGTAAATCGTTATTAAAATATCTTTTTTTCTTTCCGATTTAGACATCTTACGAATTAAGAACGAATGCATTAAGTAGTGTTCGATATGCTGAATTTTGTCTTCCCAGTTGTCATTATGGTTTCGATAAAGCAAACCATATTGGTAAACATCTTGTGCCCTTTATTAGCACATATATGCCTCGTTTACAAACATTACGTCTTTGGCGACCAGATGATTTTCCTTGGACATCAAGTAAGTTTATTTTAAGCCAACAAAACTAATCACAATTAAATCTCTTACTAATCTATGATAACTATTATTCTTAGTTTTTAATTTTTAATTTTATGTTATCCTTTATTAATCATACAGATATTCTCACAATAATATATAGCTCAGAGCTGGGCAGCTCCGATCATTTTCCAAATCTTCAGACCTTTTTTTATTGAAGCTATATATAAGAAAGTTGACACTTAATTCGATTCTTCACTACAAAAGTAGTTCGGCAATACAAGTCCTTTAATTGAATAAAAATATCGAACGATTAGTTTATATAAAAGAAAATATAGATTAAAAGAAGATTCCCTGAAATGATCTATATGGTTCGATAATGGAACAGAAAACTATTCTCTGTTGAAACTCATGTCTTTTACGGATTAATATTGTTTCGTTGTCTTTTCTTCATTTAAGTTCGACCAGATAATGGAATAAGATGCACCAATGTGTCTCCACTTATTCAATGGATCAAGTCTCTAGAAACATCCGAATCGATTGGTATACATACATACAAATGTAGTCATTTTATACGAATAAATAACATAATTCTTGTGTTTTAGCTCAACATGTAAACGTCTTTCAACAAGATCTTTGTCAATTGGTCGAAAGATTAAAAGAATTTACCTTTCTTGATATTTATGGTACCATTAATTATGAAAAAGTTCAAGCTTATAGGTTGATGATTCAAACTTGTTTTCCTCATAGTCGAAATGATGTTAAAGTATCAAGATTTCGTCTCTGGTTTTAATTTCCTGTTTGTTATATACAACAGATATTTGTTAAAGACAATAATCATAGCTCATTACGTGCTTGTTTTTCTGTTTATCTCTTTTTGATGTTATAAACTGTAAAATGCTTACATCCAATAATAAAATGTCAATATTATCGCTGAAACAATATTGTATTGGTTTATAAAGAATTTTAATGGCGTAGCTAGAGGCGGCTCAGTTTTCCCCATACACGTTTAAGTTTTGTGCCGATAATGATATTATTTTTTCAATGATATCATCTTTCACTCTTCCGTATTCTTTCCTTTCTACCATTTCTTTATTGTTCTACAATGTGATCATAGCTCTCTCGTGTTCTCTCTCATGTGCAAACTTGTGTGGTATATGAAACATTTACATTCTAACGATGTGAAGTAATCAATTTTCACATCATTACCGAGGGTAGCGGTATAGCTACGTTTCCCGTTTGGCATTATGCGCTTCCTTTAGAAAACGTTAAAATTGCTATAAATGTGGATGTGAGTCCCTACAGGAGGCTTAAAAGAGATTAGCAGAGGGTCTGTGGAACCACTTACCAAGTCGGCCGCCAGTAAAATTTTGATTTTCGGCTTAACTATCTAAAATGGAAGGTCTAGTCAAACCATAAGTGAATCCAAAATATCAGGTCTTTCTGATGTGCCTGTAAAAGATGCCAGCGTTTGCAAGTTATACACAATTTACATTTGATAAAAAAAAGTGAAGCTTTTAGGGTGTCCTTAGTATTTTATATTTTTCTCCGCTTCTGCTCATTTGTTTGACTTCAGGAACATCTCAAAAGATAGAGAAATCTTTTCCCTACAAAACGTAGTGATTGATTTATTTATCCAGCACCACATATCAGTAGATAATACTAATATACAGACAAAAATTACTATTGGTTAAAATGGGGACTTTTCAGTACTTTGACTATAACCATGCCGGATTTCGCCATCCCAAAATAGTTCAGATTTTTTCTGAAAGCCCTTGAAATTCTGTATCTTCTAAGGTATTACTTATTCAGATAAAAGTTGAGTGAAAATAATTAGTCTACATAACAAATGTTGACATCGGATAGTTTTCTTTATTCAATTGAATCCGAGATCAGCTGATTATATTTTACATGATTGTTCAAATCCAAATATGATTTCAGATTCGTGATCAGCACGAAACGTTCACCATAAAAATATCATTAGATTAAATACAAAGTTATCTAAGCTAAAAAAATACCTACAGCCTCTGGCCTCGGATTGCAAGTTTTTGAAAATGTAGGAATTAGCACAGGATCAAACTTTTTAAAAATACGGGAAAAGGCGTAAAAAATCAGAAAAAGATAGGATATTAAAAATTCGTTGTTTAGATTCGAATTAAACGTTGTTTTAAACTTTTCCTGCATCAACTTAACATATGCACGAAATTTTTGTCAATATTTCATTTTAATTCTTTCTTAGATTAAATTAAATGAGTTAGACAGGGTGTGGGTAATGGTTTGCATTGTGTTTATACTCACATCAACCTACACTCACACCGAGTATGAAAATTTTCAAAAATCGCATTTCGAGTTTTTTAACCAAGAAATGTTTTCAAAAAATATCAATGACAGATCGTTAGTTGTAGAATTTCAGTCTTTACAGGCTGCCTATTTTGTTTTGACTTTCGTAGCTAAGGACAATGTAAACTCTTATACACTTTCTAACTCAATTTACCGTTTATGAGCTTCCATACAGATGTATCAATTTCGTTTTTGTGTATAACGATTAGTTACAAAGAAAAGACTATTGCTAATAAAAATCAAATAACTCTGATCATGTTAAGTGCTTCAAAATTGGTGAAGAAAAACTGTACCTCAACATTACTAAAAATGTCACGTTGTTTTCTTGCACTTTTTATCAAAGCAAAAATAGCTTGGAGAAAACGATTTTAATGTTTTAAAGCCTGGTCAAAGAGCACTACAAAACTAACTCGAGAAGTGTTTCATCGGGAGAAATAGTTGCAGAAGAAGCTGCAGCTTATTAGTGGCCCTGAAGAAAATGGTCTTTTTATGTTACAGTCAAGCAACCAAAACTCCTCTCTATAACCAAGAGACTTAATCCAAAAACAGTCATTTTATGGCATAAACATATCATGACAAGTTGCATCAAATCATGTTTGAACGAACTTTCTAACTCACACAATTTCCAAGATAATGAAAAACAAAGTGTGTCAAAAAAAGGTCACAGCGTTACGCTTGAACAAAACTATTTACGTAACATAGCATATGATAGGCAACAATAAAAGCTTTTAAAAAGCACACAACTATTTATAAAGACTATTTTACTTTGTTTGAATATCTTAACTCAAAATAGTCAGTTATTTTCATTTAGCCCGTTTGATAATGTGAAAAGAAATTGTAAATAAAATAGAGTCCTTTCAAAAAAATTCTAAGAACACAAAAGAATCAATAATTATCGAATAGATCTGTTTAAAAAACACGAGAATTATACTAGAACAAGAGATTTTTTAGCAATTTTCTACTTTTTTTCATTTTTATAGGACATATAGGACGAATCCGAGGCCAGCTTTCACTTCAACTGTACGAGAAAAACTGTAAACTATTGCAATAATATAAACATTAGTTTTTTTTAACCAGAACCAAAGTAAAAAGAACTAAACCATACATTTCTCGATTTTTGCTACTATTAGTTTTTTTAAATACTTTCTAGCAAAGTAATATGATATCTTAGTCATCATTTGTTCTATGAATGTGATGCTCAATGAAACCGAAGACTAAACACATGTCGTTCTTGTTGGTTATTATTCTTTTGACGGGAAATGACTCGCTATTTTACTTTATCAATCATTTTTTTTTAAATCTATTCGTAATTTATAATGGAAATAAATATAGAGTGTCCTATGATATAATTGCTTGAATTCGAAAAGACGTTTTTCACGTCATTATTTGTATAGATTCATACGTATTTATTTGAAAATATGTAATACCTTTTTTTTTTTATAAAGAAGAAATATTTTGTCGATAAATGAAATCTATTCTATTAAAATAAATGTGTATCAATAGCAGATAGTTACCTTTGATTTTAAATTGATTCTTGACAAAAATAAATAATGGTTTGTAGAGAAACGAATAAGAATTAATTCTTTAGTTGTATCTTTCTATATTTAAATTCCGCATCAGAATATGTGATATATTGATTTCTTTTCTTTATGTTGACACGTTTTATCTATTATTTATCTTTTCATTGTTTTGATATTCGAAAAAGAGATTTAGTTTATAGATAATGATATTTGTTGTTAATGAAATTTCAATAGAAAAGTGAAAGAAACGATAATTGAATTGTGATAATATTTTGTTTTAGATGACATCATTATTTTCATCTTTATCTTCTGTAAAAAAATATAAAATAGAACATTCATTTGTTCCATTAGTTGTTTCATCTGAATCATTTATAATAATTTATGAAGAACATCCTCGACCATTGATTCGTTTATTTAATAGTAATTGTTATCAAGTAATGTTTTTGTATGTTCCATCATTTTTAGTTGATATTTGTTATTAAATCCATCAATAGGAAAAATTGAATTTATAAATGATTATAAATTATTAAAAGAAAATCGTTCAATGTCATCGATTTGTTCAACAAATGATCGACGTTTATTTATTTTATATCGTTTTGGTGAATATTGAGATCAATATCCAAAAGGTAAACGTATTCGATCATCAAAAGGTCAAATAAAAATTTTTTTCTCTTTGTTTATTCTTTTTTTTGTTAAAACTATTTGTTAGATGATTTATTTGTTCTTGGTTTACTCATTGTTGAATGGAACGGTATATGGCGTGTTGATATATTTTCATCATCATTACATAAACTTCATACAGGTTTTCGTTTTAATGGATGGACACGTGATACATGGCTTTCAGAATGGTCTCCTCATAAATGTTGGTTTGTTGGAAATATACATCATTTAATGATTAATTCTAAAGGACAACCAATTAATATTGAAAAGAATCGATTTGATTTCGATATCAATAATATAACTTGGATGATTAATAAAAATAATCATCAAATTAAAATGATTGTAACACGAGGAGAAAATTTTCTTACTTTTTTAAAATAATTATTTTGTTTCTTTCATTGAAAATAAAATGAAAGAATCAATTTCAACAAAAGAAAATTAAATTAAAATATTGCTAATTAGTTTTCTGACATATATTCTTTTATAATAAGGTTTGAAATTGCACTCATCTGTCGGAATATTTATGGAAAAAAAAATATTTTGAAAAAGAAAAATTTAATCACGATATTTTCGGTTTGATTAATACCAAATAATTTTTCTTGAATTTCAGGAAGAATTTGATTAAATATCATAGAAAGTCGAGCTTCAATCGTGTTTGATACTTTGATTTTTCCACCCATTGCATAAAGTTCAATACCACCAGCACTAAAATAATAAAAGATCAAATTTTTAACAAGAAAAATGAAAGAATCATCTGCAATGAAATTTTTATCATCAATAGTAATTTTAATATCTTTTTGTTTTAATTCTTGTTTATATCTTTGAATAGCATCAGGAATAAGTTGTTGAACAAGACTAAAATCATTTCGACGACATCGAAGAGTTATATCTGTTTCCATAAGTAAAAAAAGACCTTGTGCAATAAGATTAGCAAGAATAGTTGTATATTTTGTTAAAATAACTAATTGTTTTCTTGCTTCTTCTTTTAAAGCTTGAACATAATCATCACGAGCTTTAAGTATTGAAAGACGACTTGCATTTGCTAAATTTGAATGTTGAACTTTTCTTTGTAATTCAATTTGTTTTTCCTTTTTATCGTAATATTCAATAATTTTAACACGTTGTTGAGAAACTATACGACTTTTTTTCGATATTAAATTCTTCTTCAGCTTTTGCTTCAATTTCTTCAACCTTTTCAGCAGCTTCTTGTTGAATAAATGCAATCATATGCTGAATCTAGATTAATCAATATTTAGATCATTTTCCTAAATGTGAGTTTCACAAAATATCAAATTTAATGGTATTTACTTAGTTTTAATCACTTAATTCTCCATTTTCAATCGTAGCGTTAAATAATAAATTTCAACTTAATGCTAACTATCAAAGAATTCATCGTTGAAACAGTATTTTAACCGACTTACTATTCTCTGATAATATTTTGTCAAAAATATCAAGAGATAAATGAAGCTGCATAGTTTTCTCTACATGAATTCACGTTATAAATCAGTTCTTCGTTAAGCACACTAATCATCGCTCGCACTAGAGAAGTTATAGATCTTCTGGACAGTCTTTGAAGATTTGTAAATAATATTTCTGTACTAACGTTGATAAATCAGAAATGCTCCTTTCGATAGCTCTGGGCGATTTATAGATACCTCCAACATAGACCTTGATGAACCTTCAGTACTCCAGGATAGCTTTTGAAACGTTAGAGACAATAGCTCATAACTTAAACAAAATAGATGTACCAGAATTAATAATGACACTAAATTAATGCTAACAAGACACCTCTAGCAGATAATCAATTTCAAATTGATTCAATAATCGAAGATAATGCGATACCTATTTATAAAATAAACCGTTTCTTGTTTTTAGTTGTGGAGCATCACTTCAATGTGTTGATAAAACTAGATAGCAAGACTGATTTTAATAGAATTATTTACTTTTAATCTCTATTTCAGACGTCTGATACCAGTTGAAGTTGATAAACATTATCTTTCAACAAAGTTAAAAAAATAACAAACAAATCAACGACAACCATTTTTTCTTTTTAAATTTACCAAACATGTCACATTGTGAAGTGCATGAACAAGTTTATAAGAGAAATAAAACGGAAACATACTTCAATTATTTTAATTGATGGTCTTCTTGATATACAAATTCAATTAGTTGATCATGATCACTCTTATTGATAGATAATACTTCACCAAATATTATATTTGTTCTTGGCAATAAAATTGATCTATTACGAAAAGACAGATTTGATTAACATTAGAAATAATTTCTTGTCACATAAATAAGATATTCGAAGAACTTTTTGTATATAAATATATATGAAAAAGAAAACAAAGCAAGAAAATAATGTAAATATCAAATGATCTAAAAATGTCCTTTACGAAAAACAATCAAATATCATCGCTATGATTTGATCAAATCTATCGTTGATTTCGGTGCCATTCCTCTTGAGTTTTTCATTACTCGGTACACTGATTCATAAATATCAAGAAATAATTGAAAAAAAAGGTAATATCCTTTTTTTCAAAACTCGTCAAAGATTCTGTAGAAGATATATTTAAACTATTAGTAATTTTATCTTAGATAATAAATCTTATGTGTTTAATATTCGTAATGTCTCAAAAATGAATGTAAAAAATGTGATTTATGAAAACATATAGTTAAATATTATGATTTAATCAGTGCTCAAACTGAATATCGAGCTGAAGAACCTTTGATATATAAATACATAAGCAGCTGTGTTCATCTACTTCATGGTACAAATACTGGAAAAAATAGTTTATTTAATAATCTTCTAAACTTCCTAGTAAAATATTTACTAAAATATTTTTGCTTTGTTTCTATTGTGTTCTTAAATACAACAAAGAATGTTCTATACAAGAGAAAAAAAGTAACATTATAAATGGACACACAAGTATCATAATTGATGAATCAAAGCCAATTAAATTTAATCCGAGTTTCTTCATTCACAATTTTTTCTTCAACATTTAAACGTTTTACAATTGTTGCTAATTTTTGAGCAATATTATCCATTATTTCCTTTGTTTGTAAATGTTCTGATTTAGGTAAAAAGGTTTGAATTAATTCTGTGAATGCAATATTTTGTTTTTGTAAAATTAAACTGTAAACATTATCTTCAGTAATCGTTTCACTAAAATATACGACGAGAATGATTTCAAATAGACAAGAATTGGATAACTAAACCTTGGATTTAATGGTTGATTTGGTAAAGACATAACTTTCGATTTAGTTGCTCGAATTTCTTTTTTATTTGTCATTTTATTATCTTTTTCTAAAATTAAAATAAATCGTAGTGTTGACTCTTTTACTCAATTGAAAAGAGAAATATAAAGATCAAAAATTTGTTTATCAGGCTCGTTACACTTATATATCTTTGAAAAACTATAATCATGTGTCCTATTAAGATACAAATACAGTATGTTTTTACAAGAATAGTTGTGAAATCAGATGACAAAAGCTAAGCTCTTCTAATGTTCTATACAATAGAGTTATCCAAGCTTTGTATAAAAATGAAAAGTTGATATTTATAATGTTCAATTTATTTTATGCCTAAAATTTGTGAAAATAATCTCGTACGTTTAGTAGTGAGCGTAAATATACAGTTGTTAATCTCTTGTAGCCACAGATAATGAGAATTTCTCAAAAATAAAATCTTTATCTTTCTTTACTTTACCATTTTTAATTTGTTCAGGTGGAATTGGTTGAGTATTGATAAAACTCTAGATAAAAAAGTATTATCCATCAAGTTAAAAACAATATTTTTCTATTTACAGTAATTGATTCAATTGGTTCTTTCAATGGATTATCCGAATGATCAAGATCATTATCATTTGAATTGGGTTGCATATCTACAATTAGATTTTCTATCAATTTAACCTTAATTCTAACACCAATTTCAATAAATATCGTTACTGATTGTATTACTTTTGGTTAATTTATGAACATCGAACACATCATCACCTTTTATTTTACTATTGTTTTGATGTGTGTAATATTTAAAAAAAAGCGATGAAATCGTAGCTTCTCAAAAGAGATACATTTTGGTGATGCCAATTATTGTTGGTATAATATGATCAAATATAACATGAATGATAGGCATTGATTTATTTCAGATGATATTAGAATCTGTTTTTTTCTTTACATAAAATTGCAAACATATAATATCGATCTGTTTACTGCATTCAACACGAATTCATGGAAATAGTATGGATGTTTTTCTTCTTTTTTTTTGTCATCATATTTCGCCTACTGTTTCTTGAATGATTGTACTGTTGTTACGTGCAGACATTCTTCCTAGCACCCATATTTAAAAGGATTCGATAAAAAAAAATAAGGTGGCGAAATAGAACAGAAAATAATTTTGGGGAGCGATTCTTTTGAAAAGCAAAGCGAACGAGGTAAGTCACAAAAATTCTTATTTACAATTGCGCACTGCGAATTCCAAGGACATTTTCGTTTCTGTCACTTGACTGTGGTGAGTAACTTTTGTTTTGGGCATATTCCCAAAGCAAAAGAAATTATTTCGTATGTAATATAAGTATTACTTTTCAGAGTTTTTGCTTTGAAATAGGGTGGTCGAGCTAAGTAAAATATTCTATTCATCATTTTGATGATCTTATTCTTTTTTTGAGTTTCATAAGGCGATGAAGCCGGTAGGAATGTGTCATCAATTTGTGATTTGAATAATAATCTCTATGTTCTTTTGAATTTGATGATGTTCTACTGTTTTCAGATGACATCAAACGGTTATCAAATGAATAAAGTGAGGATATTGATTTGGGGATTTTTTAATTGGCTAAACATAAGAAAAGCAGCTTTACGATGAATCTGATGACCAGAATATATCTTGGGTTACTATAAAGTGTAGTTTTTGGCGACCCACAATATATTCTGGCCACCAGATTCATTGTAAAGCTGTTTTTCTTGTGTTTACTCAATTGAAAAAAATCCTCAAATCAATATCCTCACTTTATTCATTTGATGACCCCAAATAGGGATTTTATTTGGGGATTGATTTGTGGTAACCAGTTTTGGGGTAAATGATAACCTACCACTACTTTTACTAACTGTGCAATTGTAATGCTATTGATAAGAGTGAGTAGCAATGCATATATAACAAAAATTGAGTTGTAAAGATATTATACGACCAAATTTCGAGGCTTACTGACACACTCGATGAGGTAAATGCGAGAGAATTACTTGAGAAAGATTACAATTAGTATTTAAAAATTCCACTTATCAATCATATGTTAAAATTTTAAACTGGTAATCTGGTGACCAGAACTACAGAAAACAAAACAAAAAAAAGCTATTGATACCTTTCACTGATTATCAATAAGAATTACCATAAAAATTATGGCGAATGTGAACTAACAGCCTCGCTTTTCTCAAAGAGATAATTGAACTATTCTATTTCACAACCATTTATAATCAGTAGCATGCACCACTCCTATTCTTCTTATTCACGATACAGCCAATACTGATTCTATGAAAAAACTTGATGTGGTAACCAGAATGAATTTTTTGATTTGTTGGATATATATTTTACTAACGGCTGCCGACTGTTAAAATATCGTTTTGGTCAGCCGTATTTTTTTTTATTTGTTTACTATATTTTCCTATATATATGCCACATATTCATAACAATTCTGAGTGTGATAATTGTGGCTGTGTTTGATAAATGCGTCTAGGTGTTGATATGGCCTGGTAACGCATCATACACACACCCACACGAGCTCCTTTTTAGTCGAAATTTTCGCTCCGCCCTCCTCCATTACAGACAACAACATTAGGATCCTGCTTTCGTTACAGATTTTTAGCAATTCAAGAAAATATAAGTCAGAATTTCTGGTGTTTTGTTTTTTTTACAAAAATCGACCGAATTATAATTTCCAAAAGTAATAAAGACTCTTTGCTGTATATGCAGATTACAGAAACGTGTTTACTTTAATGACCAATTACTCGGCAAAATAGAATAGTCTGTGACAGATTTTTTTGCCTGTGCGCATTTTGTACTAACTTAGTGACGCCAGAAGGCCTACATAAGTTCCAAATGTCAGGTTCATTGAGCTGCCTCAACAAGCTTTTCTTCTAGTTTTTGTGATTGTGTCATTGGTTTCTAAAATTTTAGTAGATCTGTCCTATTGTGAAAAAATGGTGACCATACTACATAACGTTATTCATCTGTTCAACAGTAAACTGAAGTCATACTTGTATGACAATCAAATGAAGTCATGTTGGAGTTTCCTCGAACGAAAGACAAATCTCAAACGCGAAAATATTGCTTTAGGTATCCTATCTTCATCTTCTTTTCAGCTTATTCATTGCTTTGTTTGTTAAGGTATGCTCGGTTTCCTTGTAATTTATTTGGCTTTCGGTTGGGGCAATGATTTTGTCTGCGATCTCATTGGATTCCTCTATCCTGTATACGCGTCGTAAGCTTGATTTTGTACTATCTTTTCAATTAATGATCCTCCCTTAGCGCAACCATCGATTTTCCCCAGACATATGTATGACATTTCCGATAATGATCTAATAATATAATACATCTACCTTTGGAAAACTTGAAATCCTGTTCGACAAACGCCATTTCAACATAAAAAGAGCAAGTGAATGGTATAATCAGATGAGAAACATTCAAATTATCATTTGTTAAAAAGAAATTTATCAATAATACAAACACAATCTTTTCAGTACTCTAACCACTTCAATCAAGTGATTTTTGAAACAGTTATGGAGACAAAAAAGCGAAGCTTTTTCTTTCGATGCAAACTAATTAAATACTTGTAGCTTACACCATCTATGAATCTTTTGTTTTGTTCAGAATGCTGGTCATTGAGATGCCGGAGACATTTAGCAAGGCTAAATGGTCGATATACTGGATTATTTATGCATCATTGGGCTTGGCTGAATATTTCAGATATGCCTTTACGCGCTCATTACCGTTATATTGGCTAGGTAAATGTATTTTTCTTATCTGGCTGATGCTGTGCGACGAAAAAACTGGTATTTGTCAACGAATCATTGATCGCCTCAGGTCTCTACGTTTGTTGGTAAGATGCAAGCATGACACAGGATAGTTCATTGCTACAACTGATTGTAGTTATTTTTTAAATACTATTGATTCAAATATGAGCTGAGAGCAAGATTGCTTGCAATCGAGTAGCTGTCTAATTCGAGTTCGAATATAAATGGAGAAAAGAAAAAGTTAAACTAAAACTAAATCTAGGAATAGATTTAATTTTAGTTTAACTTTCCGATATATGCGACATATGAATACATATATACCCCACACCCTTCGAAGACGCTCTAGAGCCCCTAGACCCCCGTTCAAAAACAAACATAGACATATATGAATTCAGAATTCAAAAGTTATAGATTCAATCATCGAAGTTAATAGTTACGAAGATCCCCTAGTCCCTCGTTTCTTTTTGAAATGACGGATCATTTTTTTTGTTCAGAATTCAGATTGAAATCATATACCTCATTGTATGGCACAAATGTAGGTTTCACTATCAAACTCAGTAAACCAGAAAAGTAAATTTGCCTGAAACAGAAATATACCATCATGTAAAAGAATTATATATACATAAATGCCAGTTCAAAATATAACTTTCATATGACGTGCATGCTAGGCATGATATTGTTCAGGCACGACTGGCTGGAAAACTCGCCTTCCAAAAGCTTTCTGAGGACACATAAATCGATGAAATTTTATATAGCTTCTAATCTTGACAGAAGAATAAGCGTATTATAAATTAGAAACCATGAATCATCTTGATATGTTGTGAGATTTGTATCAATCAACTTTTAGAAGAAGTCCATATTTGTTCTATTAGAGTCGAATAAGCACATGTATTTGCGAAATTTTTTTTAGTCGATGTAGTAGGCACCTATTACTGATTCGGTATCAGGCCCATTGCAATAAAAAGACAGTCATTGATACTTTATGACACATTGATTACGATGCTTATCATATGTTCTCTATTTTAGCCATCCGCATCCAACGACAACAGCAACAGTGAAAGGACGGGTAAGTTCCGACAGGATTGCCTTTCTCTGTACACTTTCAATTATACATTGCACCTGCATTTCATTATTTTTTGCTCTTTTGAATTGGTAATTCAGAATCATCCAGATGCGTGAGCAACAAAAACTTTCATTAGAAAGTAGAAGCAATATATTATATTCTTTGTTGCAGCTTGTCCCAGATAAAATAAGATGATACTCATTTATGAATTGTTGGTGCGGTCTACTGTTCTCTCCATCTTATAGGCACACGTGATCAGGAGATTTTTGTCATCGCTCAGCCTTAAGCAAGGAAAAAAGAACTCAGTCAGATTGCGTGAAAAATGCTTCTGAATATCCAATAAATTTATTAGTGAACTGAGCAGCCCGTTTCGCAACATACCCAGCTGGACTAGGAATCAATTTCAACCGATACTCGGTCGCTCAATGAGTTTGTTAGATATTTAGTAGCGTTTTCACTCGCTTCTAAGCCATCGCTATCGCTATGTGAATTAATTTGCACAGATTGCGTACGCGACGATGGTTTATAAAAATCTTGCTTCGTCTCAAAGAGGCATGCAGATAGCCGAACAGTGTCAGCTCTCGAAACACATGTACACATCTGTATCAGCTAGTGCAACACGAATATTATATGACAATGTGATTTCAGTATGGTACTTTCGCAGAAAATACTCTCTAGATGTCCAATATAAGATACAGCTATCATTCTCAATCGACGGTAGACAGAAATAATTAGAGACTCATCTCAAAAGTGAAAAAAGGATGCGGGTATGACTCTGCATTGATAGAGACAAAACTGATACAAACACTCTGAAATTTTCAACTATGTTAAATATCTTGGCATGATTTTTATTGCTGCATATATTATCACGAATACTGCCACTGGCGTTCAACACTGACTCAGAGATCTTGGTTGCACTAGAACTAGAAAAAAATGGATAAGCCATCAAGCGTATGACTTCTTTTCCATTACACGAGTCATGCGAATTTCATATTTGATTTTTATCCAACCGCCTTTTTGACAATCAGTAAACATAATGGCAAACATAGAAACTTCAGATTGAACGTGAAGCACACTTAAAAACAAATAAGTATATTAATGGATCTGCATTCACGAGAGGAAACCTCGATGATTCTTGCTGGTCTGCCGAACCATAAAAAGTTCAGCAGGGAGTGCATGACAAATCTTAGTGATAATATCATTGGGATTTTTCAAAAAAGAACTGTCACGTGTCCATATAGAGATAGGTAGATAGATAAATAGATAAATAGGTAGATAGTAGGGTCACGGTCACGATCGCGCTAGACCAGTGACTAAGATTTTTAGTCGCGGTGTCGGAGTTTCTTTAAACTAGTCGCGGCCAGGCGTGGCCGTGATCACAACCGTGACCATGATCATCACCGTGACCGTAATCATTACCGTGACCCTACTATCTACGCATTTACCTATTTATTCATCTATCTAATTACCCATTTATCTATTTATCTATCTATCTACCTATCTATCTATCTATCCATCTATCCATCTATATGTGTTTAGGTGACACTTTTATTTTTGGAAAATCCCAATGATATTATCACTGAGATATGTCATGTATTGTCAGCAGGTCACCATCGAATTTTTCAGGTTCGGTAATTTGTACGAAATTTCAAAGGTTCGTTCTCTACATACAGGTTCAATAGTAAAATTATGTTGTAAAATGCACACGATCTTTCACACC